ACCCGACCTCCTGGGACACCACCAGCACGTCCGGAGATGGGCAGGTCCCTGCTGTCACCGCAGGTGCACAGCCAGCCTCAAACCTTTGATGCAACCCTGTGGACTGTTCCCCATCCCTGATGGGGTCCAACCTCAAAACCTGCCGGGTCGCGGGCTGTGGGAGCCCAGAGGGTACAGCCCTCTCTCCTTACTCACAGCCCTCACGTACCAAGCCGGTGACTAAAGCCGGGATCAAAGCGCCCAAATGAAGGAGCGCAGTTTACATCCACCCTTTCTTTCCAGGCTGCTTTTAATTAGGGCTGATCCTCCCGCCCACGGCTCCCCGAAGCCCCGGCATCCTGCGGGGCCACAATCCCCACCTGGCAGGTGGATGCCGGGTCCCACGGCAGGGAGGGATTTTCCTGGCAGCAGGATGGGATGCTGAGCTGGAAACCTCCCCGGCCAGGCGGCACGAGGGCTGTCGGAACACCTGAACCAGAAACGGCCACTCCGGGGTTCCCTTCCTAACACTGCTCCTTCCCAAATTACACCAAGGAAGCGCCACTCGGCAGTCACAGCCAACGTAATCCTGGAGGCTCGGGAGCCCGCTGGATTTTTAACCATTTTGTTTCACAAAAGCAAAACCCGGCAAGTTTTGCCTCCTGCCAGGCTGCCGAGTGGGCTGGTGGCTTCCTACTTCCCACACGAGGTTGCTCCAAGGGGAACATCTGAATCACCTCAGCACAAGACCTGGAAAAGTATTTTCAGGGAAAGCAGAAAACCTGCATATTATCTACGAGCACCTAAGGGGACTGGGGGGATCACAGCAGGGTCAGCAACCCCCGTCTGTACCCACAGGCATCACCCCGACCCTTGCAGGGGAAAAGGTGATGGGGCTCTGGATTCCCGCAGCATCCTTCTCCAGGATGGTAAGGAATCCTGGAGGGAATGCGCTACCAGCATCTCCATGACACAGAAGCGACCTGTGGCCAACTCCACAGCTGCTATAATTAGAGCTAAAAGGCAGATCAATACCCACGTATTGACACAGGAACAGTTCTGCTCTCACTGAAGCACCACTACCAGGAAACCACACCAGGGTAAAGCTCCTTTAGAACAGCTTTTCAGAAGTTGCTGGAAAAAAAGGGTCAGTTCTGGGTGATGAATGTGACTGTCAGCCAGCGAGCTTGGGGTCACAGAGCTAAAACCTCTCATGGAGAGCGACCACCTCTCTGCCCTGTGCACAGCTCTGCCCACAGCACCCCTGGGACTGAGCGAAGTTGTAACTGTGCACAAGTCCCACTGAAAAGTCCAAAATGCCCTGGAAGGGCAGGTGGGAGGAGGGACACGTGCAGCCTTCGGTGCACTGGGCAGCGCTGCCGCCGTGATCCTTTATCAGCGGTGCCCAGTGGGACGACTGAAGGAGACGCGTCCAGAGGGAACCGGAATTGCCGGTTTTCTCGTGTTGCTCCCCAAACCCAGCAAGCTCCATTTCCTACCCACTGTGACCTCGTGAGGCCTGGAATTCCCACCTGTCTTTGCCGGTGCCCTCCTGGGCCAAACCAGCCCAGGGGTCAGGGAAGGACCAGCAAAGAAAAGGGGCAAAGGGGAAAACACCTGCGATGAATGCACTGCTTCTGAAACCAGAGGGTCAGAGGATGCGTGCAGAGAGCACTGTTATTTTTGCGGGGACAGCAGCGAGCCCGCCGCTCTGTCCATCCCTCTGCCCATCCCTGCCCACGCTGTTGGAGTGATTCATTTCCCACCAGCCATATGCCGGCCCCATCAGTGCCCGAGCATCGCCCACCCTGCAGGGGCCACAGGGCTATGGACAGTCCGGCCATAGCCGGACACAACCACATCTGGGCTTTGTTTTAGCTCAGCCACCCTCCGTGGGTTCACACACCGTGATCCCCGCGGGGAGACCCCCACAGGTGACCCAGAGCGGCGGGGGCTGGGGAGAATCCACCCGCGGTGCCAAACAGCCCCCGGTGTCGTTGTGGCCGGGAGCGGGAGCGGCAGGGATGCGGAGATGCCCATTCCCGGGGCGGTGAGCGCGGGGCTGGAGCCCCGGGATGCTGCCGAGCCCCCGACTCGGCCGACACCGTAAAACTTTCCCCATGTGCTCCGGGCCGTGTTTACCTGCGATAAGGCCCGGGGGGTGCGCGGGGGACGCTCCGGCCGTCCCGGGCCCCGCTGCCCGCCGGGGCGGGGGCGCACGGCGGGGCCGGGCCGTGGGGCCGGCGCGGGGGCGGCGGGACGGGCCGCGGTGCCCACGCGGGACGGTCCCGCGGCCGCGGCGGGAGGAAGCGGCGGCGCAGGTGGGGGCGGGGGAGCACCGGCACCGGGTACGGACGGACGGGCGGACACGGGGACGGACAGAGGGACGGCGACCGCGCCGCCCCACCGGGGGGACCCCCGAAGGACAGAGGGACGAGGACCTGCGACCCCTATCCCATCCCATCCCATCCCATCGCCCGGGAAGCCCCCGCGTTCAGCGCGCCCCAAGGCGATGCCCCGCGAAACGGGCCAGGACCAGGACCAGGACCAGGACTAGGACCAGGACCAGGACTAAGACCAGGACTAGGACCGTGCCCGCAGCCGGTCCCGGGGCCGCGCCACCCCCTTCCGCCGCCCTTGCCTGGTTCTTGTCGAACTGCTCCCGCTCCGCCTCCAGGCTGTGCCCGCCGCGGCGGTTCAGCACCCGCGCCGGCACGCTCTTGATGCTGTTCATGGCGGGGCTCCGGGGCTCGGCGCTGCCGGCTCGGTCCCCGCGCCCGGTCCCGCTCCCCGGGCGGCGGCGACGGCACCGCCCCCTCCCCGCCCCTCCCGGCCGCGCACTGCGCCGAGCGCGGGGGCGCCCCCGGCGGCCGCGCCCGGAACTGCAGCTCCCCCCGCGGGCAGGTGCGACCCGCGGGGACACGGGCGGGGGACACGGCGGGGACACGGGCGGGGGATACGGCGGGGACACGGGCGGGGGATACGGCGGGGACACGGGCGGGGGATACGGGCGGGGGACACGGGCAGGGGATACGGGCGGGGGACACGGGCAGGGGACGCGTCCCCACCGCCCCCGCGGGCACCCGAGACTATTCCCCAGCTCAGGGAACACCAGACACGGAGGGGACAGCCCAGCGCGAATAATCCCTTCTCATCCCCAGTAGCCAACTCCTCCCCTCGCCCCATACACTCGCACGCACACAGAGGGCACGTTAAGGACCCTGGAGCTCCATCGCCACCTTCTTCCCTTCAGGAAAGTCGAGAGCGGAGCCCGCGTCCACCCTGCGGAAAGGCCGCGGCTGAACAGAAGCTTTGTTGTCTTTAATAATAATTCGGTCCGAGGATACAATAGCAAAGGGCTCCCTGGAGTATTTGAGCTGCTTCCAGAAATAAGGCACCGGGTTTGAAGTGTTTCCATACGAGCCTCGGAGTGTGGTCAATAATGCAGTTGGCTTGTAAGTCGGTTAGTGCTGAATAAATTAACCCCAACATTCCCCGTCTTTCCATTCCAAAAACCAGGGCAGCCTCGACACAAAATCCTAGAGCTCTGCAGATCCTTGTTGCACCGCCTCAGCTCAGTTTTCTGTATTGATTTTAAAGCCATCAGTGGGGCATTTTAAATTCACAGGGGGTTTAAACTCAGAATTCATCCAGTAAACTCAAACACACTTAAACCAGAGACCACAGCTCCCACTTGGAAGTTGCACCAATTTCTCTGTAAAGCTGCTGGGCAGCTTCAGAGTGAGCAGCATGGTATTGTTATCAGTGGCTTTTTAGGGGGAATTTTTGTCATAGCCACAGCAGGAGATTCTGAGTATGGAGTCTTGGAAAGGTTCTGTGCAGGTAGAGGAATAAATGCACTGTAAAGACTTGTGGAAACTGGAAAAGAGATGGAGCAGCTGAGCTTCCCTCAGGCAGCAGCTCTGATCAGAACTGGTCAAGTAATTTTAGGGCAATTAGCACCTGAAGGAAAGGCTGTCATTGGGGTAATTAAAGAGGAAGAAGAAAATTACAAGAAAGAGTTAACAAGGGGAGTCCATGGAGTGTTGTGTTTCACTGCAATTAATTGGTGGCAGTGGATGCAGCCAGAGACTCCCACCTTTGGCTGCCCCCACACAGGAAAAACACTGGCACAGCTCTGGGGACTTGGCACAGGTGTCCCCAACTGCTCCCAACCTGCACAGGCCCGAGCAGCCAGCTCATATCTGTGCTCAGAACCATCAGGAATTAAGTACTAAATATGCTGGACAGTGTGTTAAACAGGCAAGAAAAGACACAGCAAAGTATCACCTTTATTATCTTATTTGATCTTTTAGTTAAAAAGTAAGTTCAAATTGCGATAACAGGATGTGTCTTACCCAATAGGCAAAGATAAAACCAGGTTAAATGCTAAAAAAAAGGGTCATGTGGTGCTTGGCTGCTGCTCCAGAGTGCAAACAGAGCCCATACACACCTGATCCTATAAACTTTTGCTGGAAGAACCAGCTCCTGAGTGTGACAGAGTTGGTCTGCCCATGCTGTGGGTGACAGCTCTCCCATTTCAATTCATTTCCCAGTTCCTGCTTACAACACTAATTGGGAACTTCCTATAAACATTATTCATCTCTCTCCACAAGGCAAGAAGTCCAGAACAAAAACAATATGCTAACGAGAGAAAGAAAAAGCATACTTGGCTGTGTCATACTCTATAAATACTTCTGAGACACCATAAAAAATAAAAAGATAAAAAAAAAAATAGTTCCTATGTTGTAACAATTACTCACTTCAGATTCTTAAAAAACAAGCTAGTGTTTAACCTGAGCTCTCAGCTACAAAAATAGCTTTGTTAATCTTGGCATCATTCTGTGTTTTATTTCAAGATAAAATACATTCCAGCAGAGTCACATCTTTTCACCACTTGTGGGTCTATCAAACACTCAGAGAACCACGTTAAAAAATGAGGTAAATTTCCACTGTAACTGCTGGGTTGCTCTTCAGTCCTCAGAATCACTTCTGCGTTAGAAACTTCTTAATCTACTACAGAAATTTAAAAGAGTTTTATTTTAAAAAGCAGGAACATTTCCTTTAAAATATATAAAATATATAAAGCAACCACATGTATGTCAATTCACTACACACATTTTTACACTGTAAACAGAATAAGAACAGAGTAAAAATACAAACAGGAGAAAGGTAAAAGCACTTAACAGACAGAAAATAGTCTCAGTGGTACCAAGGGGGTGGTAGGGAATAAAACCTTTCCAGTTTGCTTTGTGAAAAGGAGTGATCTTTGTGTCCCTGGCCAGCCCCTGAGTCACCATTTAGGAGCAGTGGCACATGCTATGTTGTCCAAAACTGAATATAGCCCTTTACTCACTGCTTTCCTCAGTTCTTCAACTCTCCCCCACCCAATCCCTCTCTAAAGACAAAACAACTGAGGAGAATGGCTCAATCCCTGGCAGCCAGAGAGGAAATTACCCTGATGTTTGTCAGTGCACCTGCCCTCAGACGGTTTCAAAGCAATTTTAAACCCCAACAAACACAACCAAAACCAATTCAATCACCTCTGTGTATGAAGCTGCACAAATGTTGTTATTTCTGGACCTGCTACCAACTCTGCTTCGGATTTATCCGATCACAGCGATTCGGTGCCTTTTAACACACAAAGAAAATGGGAATTGTGCATTAGGCAGCGACTTGCAGAGTCACTAACTCTTGTCGTGGATGTACAGTGGATTGTGGGTGCGTTTGTTCCACTGGCTCTTCCTCACTTGAAGCAAATGGGATTATTTCTGTAGGCTCAGCACACACTCCCCACTCTGCTGCCTCAGCACAGGGCTCAGCACTTTTGGGGATTTGCTCCTGAAACTTTTGAACATCAGTGGTTTCAGGATGCAACTCTCAGTGTTGGCTTCGACCTATAAAAGCTCACGCTGCTTTCACCTCGGGGCTCTTTTTAGGAAAGGAGCAGCTCTGCACAGAAGCATTTCAGCATTCCAGCTACTCAGCATCCAGTGCCCCATTAGCTGCACTCCACAGACCCGGTGGATTTTGGGAGAAGACTCAGTGTCTCCAGGTTTAATGCAGGAACAGCAGAACATGAGGGTGCCACAAAGCACCCCCACTCCCCAGGGCACAGAGGGTTTGGCTCCACAGGGCAGAAACAGCTCGGGGAATGCAGCTGGAATATCTGAGAGGGAACTGAGCACCATTTCCCTGCTGGATCGAAGCTGATCCATAGGAGAAGAAACCCAGAAAGCCACAAAGCTTCACAACCCAGCTGGCTGTGTGATACCCTCCCTCTGCAGGCAGGAGCTTGGTTGTGTCAGCACTGGAAGATTTCTCTTTTTTTGCCAGTTTTTCTCCTCATTGTTGCTGGTTCTTATTCAGTTTCGAGTGGTGTTCAGGATTTTAACCATATCTGGTTACTCTTTTGTCCTCGGAACCAGACAATGTGGTGCCTATTGCAAGCATCCAATCCACATCAGGGGAACAAATAATCAGAGAGTGAGAAATTTCCTGATTCTGAAAGAAAAAACAATCTGCTGTGGGCAAGGCTGCTTGGGATATTCTGAAACAGCTCTATTCAATACATTCTACTTTTGGGGCTCTGAGCCCAGGAACAATATCCTAAAACAGCCCTTGGCCTTGGCCCTAGAAAACACTTCCCAGTCTCTCAATGTTCACATCCTTGATCCTGTTATCTATAACACACAGAAGGGTTTTAACTACAATAAACAGCCTGCAGGTACTGGGGAATGGAGCTGTGAGATCTGACTGCCCAGAGGACGAGGAACACGCTCGAGGAAAGTTTAATTATTTGACTAAAGGAATTATTTGCTGCCTTAATATCTGTTTGCTGTTACAGTACTCACAAGAGTTTTACTGGAAATGCACTTAGAATCCTGTGTCAGGCTCAACTCAGAAATCCATAATGTGTATTAATATTGCAGATGCATTTATAAAAAGGGAAGCAAACAAATAAAGGTCAAGTTGAAAACACCTTCATGCTCATGGAACATCATAGAGTAAGAAGGAAGCTTAGCATCTCTTTCTTCTGCTGCAGATAACTGGCTTTTGTGCAGAGTTGCAGCAAGTTCTGTCGTCTATATTGTAATGCAAAAACCCTACCTGGAAATCAAAGGACTCAGAGAATAAAAATTCCAGAGCTGCCAGGTTCAAACCGGCATTCTCAGTTCCCTCTTCTCCTCCCTCCCCCAGAGCAGGGCACAGAATCCATCCCAAACAAATTCTTACTGATTAAATTCTAAAGTATTTATTATGTTTTAAAGCTCAGTTTCAAACAGCCTCAGGTAAGCCTGGTTTTAAGCACAGATTAGTTGGCCTGCATAGATTAACAGAAACATGCTTGACGAGTTTTTACCCAGAACTGCTCTGAAAGTAGATCAGAGTTCCACAGATGTGGCTCAGGAGCTGCTCCCCCCAGAACCCACGAGCCTGCTTTATGTTCTGTCTGCTGAAGCCCCAGTTCTGAACGAGGAGCCAATTTCCAAGCTCAAAAATGCAGGCTCGGGCTCTAAAGCAGAGCCAGGGGCAGCCCGAGTGGCCGAGCTGTGATGTGCCAGCCAGTCAGCAGGAGCCAGACAGCTGATGGGGCTGGGCAGGAGCCACAAGCAAGCCCTGTGTTGTAGGGAGCTTTTCAGGAATCCTCCTACATGGATTTGCAAAAGACTAAACTGCTGCTGTCTTCCCTGCTGAATGAAATCCTGCAGAGGAGCTGCCAAACAAAATCTCCTTTCAGTTGGTGCGAACGCTGGCACAACAACCTTTACACTCACTCAGCCAGCCCCAGCACAGCGAAGGGTTTATGGCTCTGAATGTTATAAAAATTGCTTTGTCTGTTACTTACAGCAACGTTGTTCTGGCCAAGTTCATCTGAGGCTAAAAGTGGTCCAGCATTTTCAGAGGGAGGTGATGTGTGAGGAGAAAGCAGCCTGCTCTAAATCCAAGAGCCTAAATCCTCCCTCTGGGATGTGTATCAGCACAAGTGGACTCATTTCTAGTGACAAATGGTACAATGTCCTTGTCAAACAAGGTAGAAATTCTTATGGATATTTATGAAAACAAGCAAGTGACTCCTTCACCAATTACTCCTTCTGCCCACATACCCAACAGCAACTCCCTATCGCTGCTCATGCTCATAAAATAAACTGCCACACAGCCACATACAGGTTTTTTCTTTGACCACTGAGTATATTCTCTGACCCTGCAATGAAAGAACTAAAATTATTAACCCACAACCCCCCTGAATCTATTTAAGCTGCGTGTCTGGTTTAAATTCATGCCCCAAACTATCCTACATAACACCTATTCCCTACACTGCCCTCCTTTCCATGAACACAATAATAAGCAGTTCTGACTCTAAGCCTCTGGGGCAGCAGCGTGGTGAGTGTGCACTGAGCCTGACAAATCATCTCAAGTGCTTCAAGTGAGAAAGAACCAGTGTTCACTTTTTTTTTCTAGGCCTCCTACAGCTTGGCCCAAAATGACTTCTTCCTTCCATCTGTTTAGACACATGCAAAAGTCAAATCCTGTCATGACCTTGAGGATCCTCTAAGAGAATCCTATAAAAAATTCAGGTACTTGCAGCTAAGGCAGGCAGGAATTGTCTCTCAATAAACAATATCCCCCTCGTGCTTTGCTAATGGAGTGCAAGTCAAGCACAAGGAATGGGATGTCCCCAATCAGCATTCCTGAGCACCTCAACCTAGTCCTGGGAGAACAATCTATACTGTATCCATGTGGCTGCTGTTTGGAATGAGGTGAGGGCTCTGGGGGAGAAGGCTGAGGTTCAGACGGGCAATCATCTGCCCAGACTCGGCCACAGCACGATGCAGCTTCAACAGCAGGGAACTGGTGCCCTGGAGGAGACAGAAAGGGAGACAAAGTTACCAATATGGAGTATTTCAAAGGCTTATAACACACCACGGATCAGCATTTTAATCTTGAAATGTTTCAGTTCCAAGTACTGCAATGTAACAGGCCCTGTCTAACTGCTGGTGTTTCGAATAAACACAGAGCTCTGTCCTGGTGCCAGTTTTGTAGCAGATTTTCACATGCATTTGTACAGAGCACCCACCAGAGCAGCACTGCAGGGATAAAGGGGAGAACAAAGACATGAGAGAGCGGGAAAACCCCAAAAGGAAAGAAACAGTGTCCAAGGGCTTCTGATAACTGTGGCCACAGGTACTCAGATACTCAGTGGAATCACCTGTTAGCCAGCACCCATTCTCCCAAAGCTTTTCATTGCAGAAGCTTATATATGTATTTTTAAAACTCATTTATGCTGTCCAAGGCATACTGAGACAACGAGGGGTTATTTTGAAAAAGTATTTTGTCCCCTTTGCCTTAAGCCTGCTGCCTCATCATTGGAGTCCCTGGTTCCTCCACGCCGGGAGATATTTGCAGTCATAATTCCCCTTAACATCAACCAAGGGCGTTCTGCAACAGGATACTGACTGTGTCCATGGCAGCACTGCAGCATCTGCTTGTTGGCTGAGTCACTGCCAGGTCACTGATGTGCAGAGGGGAGTCTTGACCAGAGAATTCCACGGATCTCTGGGACGTGTTGCTCTCCGGGGTCGTTGTCAAACGGGGAGAATCCAAGTGGTAGAAACTCACACCCGTGTTTTCTTCACTGTTAAAAAAAAAAAAAAAATTAAGACATTGGTAGGAACAGAATCACCATCCTTTTTGAACTTTTAAGGGAAAATGGTGGGACAACATAAATAACCATGGGCCCTGAGCCAAGAAAACCACGGAGCACTGGGGATTACCCTGTTCCTCCCAGTGTTCCTGTGTTTAACAGCCTCCTCAGATCACTTTCATCCCCCCAGGACGATGGTTTGACATTCAAACAGTTCCAATCAGCTACATGGCCACGTGCTTGAGTGTGTGTTTAACCTTGCAAAGAGCACACCAAAGGCTGTGCTTGTTCCTCCCAATACTCTGCTACTCCTCTCATACCCAAGTCCCTTTTTGGTTTTAATCAATCATTAGGCAAATGAATATTTGTAGGTGTGCCTTTAAAGGGAATTTCAGAGTCTTTTACAGCTCTCATCTCTCCTCAGAGATCACAGGAGAGCTTTCCCAAAGAGGCTTTACTTTACTTGTTTTTAAATACAAGAGCAAACTGTATTCATCACACTTCTGAACACAACAGACGCGCAGTCTGGATCAGTAAATAATTTAAAAGGATGTGTATTTTAGAGAAAATACTATCTTTGAATTGATAATATTTAATTAAATATTCTTTAGATACTTATTTTGATGTAACAATGCATTCCACACCCGGCAAGACTCTTACAAATATTTTTAAATGACACTCAATCCAGGAAAAAGCCCTCATGAGAGTGGCCAGCTCTGTGTCCCATTCCACTCCAGTAAAACACTGGGATACAACAGGGTCTCTTTTCAGAGAGAAAAGCTCATGTTTCTGTGCTTCTGACAGGGAAAGGTTCCGTGGACACGTGAGGGAACGAGCTGCAGCAGCCTGGAACAGGGATGGGAGGAGATGTGATGGGCACAGCTGGTTTTGGAGAACACACAGCTTGGGAGGGAGGGGGAACAACAGGTTTGATTTGGAGGCAGAGAGATGGCTCAGGAATGGGTGGCTCAGTCCAGACTGAACAAGTACCTGCTGATGCTCCACCTTTAAAATGAGAATTGAAATAAAAATCCAAAGGCTGCAAAGGTTGGTCCAACATAAATGAAGTCACCAAGTCAGAGCACACAGAAACCATTCCTGCCCTCTGGGATTTCACAATCCCCCTGGCTGCTGGAGAAGGTATTCAACAGCCTTCTTGCTGGCTGTTCCAGAATTCAGGAACTCATGTCAAAAATATTTGCTGGGCTGACAGGGAGGTGCCAGCACCCTTCCCTAACACAAACTACATCATCAGCACTACGAAACCAGCAATGGAAAACTGGAGGATCCAGCTTCAAGTCTCAGGAGGAACGCTGTGCTTGGTCCCTGCCATTAATCCCTCCTCAGAAGCAACGCTCCTGCCTTCCTCCCATTTACAGGGCGAGGATTTATTCCCTGGCAAATCCAAGCCAGCAGAGGTTGGAGAGCAGACAGTGTGGGATTTGCACTGAGTCAATCCATCTCCAATTAGCAGGGCCCCAGGACCGAGTGTGGGCATCAAGAAAACCGGATAGCTCGGCAGCAAATCCCAAATGGGCAGCACAGCCCCCTCCCCTCACTGAGGGATCTCTGCTCTGTAAGCACTGCCTGGCTTGAGTTTGTTCCTTTTCCCCTAAAATTCACTTAAGGACAAGACAAATAGGGCAAGACAAAAAGTGAAAGCACGTTTTCATTATCCAGCCTCAGAAGGGATTTGGAGGGATGGCAGTGTGTCATTGCTGCTGCTGGGGGGTAGGTAAGAAAGGTCAGGGTAGGTGTAAGGGGAGTGGAGTCTTTTGAATGATTGAGAGACAGTGGAAACCAGAGAGAGCCCACACCACACACAAGGCTCAGCTAAGCCCTGGGGGAATGTGCCAGGACAGCATTCTTTTTCAGTGGCTGCCCATTCATTCACCTTGTTTCTGAACAGGTCTGTCTCACTGCAGCAACCATTTCTATGATATTTCTGTTTTAAAAGCCACGTGGACTGAAAGCATCCATACATCAGATCCCCCTGCTTCATAACATTAATCTGGCTGCATGTAGGGCAGACTTGCTGGCAAACATTCACAGTAGGTTTAAACAGCTGTTCATTTACTGTACTTGTCAAACTACCAGCTGGAAAGATTCTCCTCTAGCTAAAAGGCAGCCACAAAATCTCTGTAAAACTTCAGAAATCCTTCTATAATAGAGCTGGCAAATCAGTTTTTTGAAAGGAGATAAAGGAACCAAGACAACAAATCCACAGCAAGTCCCAGCTCTGGATGCCTTTGCTCATGCAGGCATAAAACCACTCCTGTAAATGCGAAGCAGCATTTTTATCTTGGCTACTTTCCAACACCACTGAGACACCTGAGCCTTTTTCCGGCATTTCTGAGCATTAAAAACCTCCTTCTGCTAATCCCCCACGTGTCCTTTTCCTCCCCCAGCATAAACAGAGGGATAAGAGTCCCACACGAACTGGAGAGTGGACAGATTGCTGTCCTTTCAATCTTGCCATCTCATTTCTTGCCCTGAGTGAGGCAGCAGCCTGTGCTCAGAGCCTGGCCTAGATTCGTGCCCAGCCACGGTGTGACTTCTCAACAGAAATAACCCAGTCACCAAAGCACCACACAAAACCTGGAGCTGTTTCCTGCCTCACAGAAACACCACTCTGGGCAGAACACATTTTACCCATCAAGAGTTACAAGCAGCATCACAAGACTTTTAAAATCTGTGGTTTTCTCAATTAGTTTATTTGGCAAGTTCTGGGGTGTTGCAGCTTCTCTTGCCCACGCTGCTCTTGGGGATAAGAGATGAGAAAAAAACAAATGCATAAAAATAGAATCATCATACTTCAAGAGCTATTTTTATTTCGAATTCGCTGCTTTTCAAGTTGGGTAGACCAATTTTTAAACAACAGTTACTTTAAACATCGCTTGAGGTACCAGTGAGAGTTTATACACCCAAGCTTCTACATAACTCCAGCTTACACCAATCTGTGAAGTGCAAAAAGCTCATAACCTTCACGAGCTGGCACATTTCATCTACTGTGTAGAATCCAAACAGCTGCAATCTTTTCCACTGCATACGCTTCCATCTCTTTCAATGGGTTTGAAAATCTCCAGCCACTCCTGATCCGTCACCGGCTTCCACCGGGCACTTCCGCTCGCGCTGGAGTTCCCAAGGCAGGAGTCAGACTCCGACTTGCGAATCACAGAGGTCCTTTTTTGGCCAGACTGAACTCCGGGTCTCTCTTCCCCGGTTTTGATTTTCCTACCGGCCTTGTCGGCCGCGGTGCCGTTCTGGATCAAAGTGCTCTGCAAATCCACGCGAGATCGGATGTTGAGCCAACGCTCGTAGGAAGGTATAGATGTCTCAAAGGTTCGTCGGTCTCTGCTTTCCACTCCCTCGTCACCGATTTCCCTGTTTCCCAACGGTCTCGTGCCGTTTGCCTCACGAAATATTTCACTGTCTAGCTCATCAAAGCTTGATGCAACATCCTGCTTTCCTCCTTCTTCCACGGGGACAGCCAAGCCTTTCACAACTTTTTGACACGGCTTTAAGAAGGCTGAGGTAGTTTCCTCCAAGTCTGATGCATTCAGTAACTGTCTATTATCTACTCCACACATCTCAAGGGTGGTTTTTACCCTACTTTCTGGAAATGGTGCAGTTCCCCACTCCTTGTACATCGTGTGGCTGCCCTCAGTCCTACCCATGTGTGTCTTGCCGTGGCTTTCAGAGGCAGAGAATGTCACCCCTGTGCTACAACGGCACGATAAAAACAAGTCAGAAACACTGCAGGTAAAGAGCACCCACCACTGCACTCCCAAAGCTCTACCCTAGCACAGGCTGCTGCCACGGCTCTGTGGGAGCTCAAATGCCCACAGGCAGCTGTATCCTGCCAAAACCCGACAGAACTCCGCCCAGATTTGGCTGTTACTTTCCAAAATCAGCCTGAGAGTTCCCTCGTGTTTTACACAGTGTGGTGATTCTGTCTGAACCTCCAGGGTGTGCACCAATTCCCTAATTTAACGTTTACTTCCTGAAATAAACTTTGCTCTTTAAACAAAAGCAGGAGCAAGCCAGATTAACACCCCTACCACCAGACTATTTCATTTTGTAAAAAACCATGGGCTGTCTGGCCTGACACAACACCTCAGTCTGTGACTGATGTTTACGGTGCCTCCTGACCAAATAAAAAACAAGATATTTGAGAACTTCACTGGATGTTTGTGGTTGAGTCCAGCAAAGCCATCCTGACCCAGCACACACCTCTGGGAGGATGTGAGTTGTGTTTGAACAGTCAAGTCTCTCTCTGAGAACAAACTATTTAAAAAAAAAAAAAAAAGGTTACTTTACCTCCTTCTGCTTCCCATCTTTTCATGTTTTTGCCTTGAGGCCTGAGGGCTCTCTGAGTTGCCATGAAGGAACTGTAAGTCACTCTGCTGTTTTACAAAGACCTGGAAAAGACAGGGATGGGCATTAGTGAAAGTCTGGGCTGCAGGAACATCGCTTGTCTTCCAAATAACATCCTCAGTTGTTTTTATAAACCAATACCCACAGTCAAACTATTGTCAAAGACTTCCAAATCTAAGAGGACATCTCTGCATGTATTAGGAAAGTAACATTTTGCAGCAATAAATAGGATTTCTATTAAAGAATTCAGTGCTCTTCTAATATGGAACCACAAATACAACATCATTACTGTTACCTGGTATTTAATACACGTTGTTATTACGCTGTTCAATGTTACAGATTTACAGGTGATCAAGGGATTTTGCTCTCACTGCAGGGGATTTCTTTTGTGAAGCTAATGCAGAAGATAACATACCCACCAATTATTTGCAATTAAAGAAAAATGGAACATGCCTTGAGAGCCTCAGCTGAGAGCACAGGGTTTAAGTCTCTCTTGATCTGCTGGCACACCATGTCCCTCAGGCTTCACCTGGGGCAGGTGTGTACACCCCAGTCCTGCTGCCCTTCACGTGCCTTCCCCAGCCTGGCACCACGGGCTGTCCAGTTTAACCCCAATGGATCAACACTGCACAGCGACCCCAGCACGGCAGAACCAGAAAATTTAATTGTTTTCCTACAATAATAATTAATAATAGCCAGATCTAACTTTTTTTTGTACTGTTCCATGCAGGTCTGATGTTCCTGAAAGGGCTTTTATCACCTGAGAGCAGGGACATGGTCAGGGCTGTACCTGTCGCAAACTGGATAACTCCTTTTCAATCCGCGCCTGTTTAGACTTGGCAAACTGATAAAGTTCATCCTTCCTCTCGGCTTTCTCCACTGTTTCAAAACACAGACAATTTCTGAATTACTTAAAAGTGAGTAGACACAAAGCAGGTGCTTTTGCCAATGCTGTGTAGCAGTAGAAGCTGGTACCGAACCAAACCAAAAGCATTTCCTTAAGATCAGCGGGATCTGTTTCCCCTCCAAATTAAAAAGAGCACAAAACCCATGAGACAACTAAACAATCAAGTATTTTCCTTCAACTTTTCCTCAGCACCTGGATTTATTTTACCAGCAGCAATAATGTGCTTCACTGACTGACTTATCTAACTTTTTCAGAAAGGAAAGGGGGGAAAAAGAGGAGACATGAAAGTCTCAGAAGTTTTCAGGAGAGAACGTTCTGAGCCATTTACTCCTCCACATGTAATCACTTTGGTGAACTTTGTGCTTTCACAAGGTTCTATAAACTGTCCCTGCAGAAACCCCAGATATTGCTTTCACACAAGAATGGCACACAAGGGATATCCTTTTATTAAACTGCAAGGAAGGTGGATAAGAAGCTGCCTCCTTCACAGATATTAGTGAATTGCTGTCTAGGAGTCCCTGAGTTGTTGAAAGCTAAGGCATGGAAAGCCAACTGCCCACCCTCACCTGCCAGTGCCAGCTCATTCTTCAAGCAGCCATTTTCATGTTTCAGGTGAAGGATTTCTTCGTGCTGCTTGCTGTTCTCCTCCATCTTTTCAGAGAGGACATCTACAAACCAAAATATTTCCCAGAATGAAAAGGTACCGTGCTAATCTACACCAAATTAGGAGCCCAGAATAAACATTTACCTTTCAGCTTATTTGTCTGAAGCATTAGCTCTTTCAGTGTCAGTTTGAGCTCCTTCTGTTCTCTGTTGAGACAGAAGTCCTCGGACTTCACTGCACGCAATGCACTTTCCAGCTTTTTCAATTTGCATGTAAACTCATTAATGTGATCAGTTGTTTCAATTAAAGCATTGTCCTGAAAGAGGAAACAGAATGGATTCCTAATTTTTTATATTATGGATGGACTTTGGCAAACCAACAGTGCATCCCACTGCCGTTAGTTACAGTGACTTCATGGATTTTCTTCTGAATTGAGGAATGAAAACCAAAATCAAAGCCTGGAAATGGGCTTGTTAATGAAAATAAACCAGTTTGTTGTTTGTTGACCATTTCTCCCCACTTAAACAAGCCTAAGATTTAAATATGAGTGAGGCCAAGAGTGACAGAACCCCCATGGTACAGTCACCAACAACTGCACTGCAGTGACCACATTCAGTGCCCTCGAGAGGACAGTTGTTACCTTCATTCTAAGCATAGTGAGGAGCTCCTGTTCCCTTGCTTGCAGTTGGCCTGTTTTAACCGACAGCTGCAAAACTGAGCAGTGGAGATCCTGATTTTTCTCCTAGAGAACAGAAATAAGCGTCAGCTACTGCTTCAGTGATTCAAAGGCAGTGTTTTTTTCCAGCAAATGATGTTATTTGAACGTTGTGAGCGGCAATGTGGGATCCTGAGCAAGCTGGGGAAAAGAGGGTTGGAGTAAAAATTGTTCCCTGCTTTGCTTGTGATCAAGGGTCTTAATACCCTGCACATCTTAGTTCAATTAGACAGATAAAATGCTTGATAAAATACTGCTTGACTTCATTGCATACAGAGGGAAAATTAGCCCAATCATACAATCATCGACAAATCACTTAAAAAATTCTAGAACACTTGAAGACCAATTATTTTCATATCCTTAAAGCAGTTTCAGAACGTTACAGCTCATCACACTAATCAAGCTCTAAATAAAACCTTCTGGAACTCCCCATCCAAGCACCCAGTACTGCTCTGGGGACAGCACTGCCTTCTGCAATCCCAGTGCCTCCCATTTTGGGAGGCAAGTTGGTTCTGAGCAGGGTTCCCCAAAACTAAGCAGACAAACAGCAAACTCCACATTTTAACTTAGAAAAATTTTTCACCCTTATTTTTTTTTACCCAACAACTCAGTCCTTTATTTTGATCTCACGTTACTGTACTAAAAGACAAATGCAACTCAGGAGCCCTAATATGAATTATTTATTCCCCAGTGAAATTCCCATATGCCACTGGCATCCTGTACATGCACAGACTGTAAAACCAGACCATTACTCAACCCCTACCTCCAGAGCCTGGCAGTGAACAGATGAATCTGTTACTTTTTGAGTCAGCTCTTTAAACTTCTGCTGTGTATTTTCAAGTGTTGCCTGACTGTCATTCCGCTGAGATTCTAAGAACTTCAGCCTTTTGGTCAGTGATTTTATAATTCCATTTTTGTTGTTCAGCTCACCTGAAAAGAAAGGAGACAAGGTTGTCTGTGAGAAAACAGCTCAGAGACTGTCATGCGATTTTTTTAAATCTCAGAAATATTTTTTTTAAAAATCTTCAAAATAATTTAATCCAGTTGTTTAAAACCATGTGATTCAGAAATGAACAGCTGCTCAGAGCTGCCAGGTGTTTCACTGGGTGGTTTGTGGGTGATGCCAGCTCTGTGCAGCACAACCTCAGGGCACAGGGCTCTGCAGCACACCAGCACGTTGCAAATTATTCTCTCTCCCCCACATTTATTTAACCACATTATTTTTTAAAGAATTCACAGAAGCAAATTACACATTCAAATGAGGAAGAGTCTTCTGATTCTCACACCCCCTCCAAAATCAGATCGCTTCAGTACCACGGTGGAAGTTTAGATGTCAGAAAGAGACAATGCAATTTAAAGGCTGAAGGGTAGGAAATGGTTCTTTAAATGATGCAAAGCTGTCATTGAGGGGTCAAAGCACCTGAATGTACTTAAAAGACCAAAATCTTACTCTTCATATTCACAACACTTACTGGTCAATAAGCTGCATCGCTCTGCTAAAGTCAGTATTTTGTGGCGATCACCTTCCCAGGCCTGGATGTGTCTCTGATGCACAGCAACCATGTCATTGAGCTCCCTGTCACGCTCTTTCAGTTCTGCAATTAAAAGCTGGAGTTCTTGTCTCTGTTTCTTAATGATGCTGTTCTCACGATCTGGGCTAAGTGCCTGTAACAGGTGAGATATGGAATGCATTTCAACACAGGCAAGCGACAAGTTCTCTGATAATAAACTCGAGGGTTTTATTTTAAGTTGAAATACGTTTATATCATAAATAGAAACCATTCTAAAAAGTTCCTCACGGCCGCGGGCCTCGGCCTGAAACCCTCCGCAGTACAAAGTGGTGCCACCTGTGGTCCACGACTCAAGCCGTCGGCAGCACAATGAGTAATTTCCTGCCGAAAATAGAGTGGATTGTCACCGGTACTTTCATGTTTTACCTGGGACGAAGAAGAGCGCAGCAGTGATGAACTCATGGGGGACCGGGGGCCAGAGCGCTGCCGGGCATTCGCGGACACCGGGACCTGTTCGGGGCTGCCACGTCCACCATGGAGGCTCCTGAGCCCAGGACCCCCGAGGCTGGGGACCTGAGGGACGACAAACGCCGTTGAGCGCGGACCGAGGCGGGGGCGGCCTCGCCCAGGCCTGGGAGGGGCCCTGAGGTACCCCCGCGCCGGGCGGGCCGCCCTCCCTCCCTCCCTCCCTCCCCGGGGCGGTCTGCGGGGCCCCCGCGCTGTCCCGCACGGCTGGGCCGGCCCCTCCCGGCCCCGGGGGGGGGTCCCCTGCCCTCAGCCCCGCTGTCCCCGGCACCCTCCGCCGCCCCCGACCCACCGCCGCCGCCCGCCGTTGGCGGAAGCTCCGCCCCGCGGGGCGCCGGGTTCGAGACCCGGGGCCGCGGGTTCGAGTCCCCGGACCCGCCCGCGGGGCTGTGGCTGCCGGGAAAACGCGGTAATTAATAACGTTGTTAATAAGGTGAGGCTAAGAGTAAGAGCCCAGCGGGATGATGCAGGTTGGAGGTGACTACCTTGCATGTCTGGGGTCAAGACAGTTAGGTAAAATGCAGAATACCGCTTTGCTTCGTCACATGCAGAGGGGAAATTAGCCCAATCATAGACAAATCACTTAAAAAAATTCTAGAACGCTTGAAGACCAATTATTTTCATATCCTTAAAGCAGTTTCAGAATGTTACAGCTCATCACAGTAATCAAGCTCTAAATAAAACCTTCTGGAACTCCCCATCCAAGCACCCAGTACTGCTCTGGGGACAGCACTGCCTTCTGCAATCCCAGTGCCTGCCCTTCTGGGAGGCAAGTTGGTTCTGAGCAGGGCTCCCCGAAACTAAGCAGACAAAGAGCAAACTCCACATTTTAGCTTAGAAAAGAATTCTAAGAGTTGAATGGGACAACTACAGAGTTTTCTGGAGATACACCATTCCCTACTGCAGAAGTACACCTTTCCCAACTAAACCAAAGGTTTGTAAACAAAGATCACTGAAAAAACCAAACTTTATGGGTGGAGAACAGGGCGTGCGATACTTCAGTCCCTCGCTTTTCAACTCACAGTGACAGGAGCATGTCACTTCCACAACTGTGCCACCAGGGAGCATTTATTGTTATTAAATGGAGCAGTGAAATAAAAAGCACCAAATCGACGCTCGAGGCTGTTTGTGGGAGTACAGAGAGTAGAGTGTGCAGCTGGAACTACCCTCACCCACTAACAGAGCCCCTGGAATATTTTCACTATTAATTTGTGTTCATTACTACCATTTTTGAACCAGCAGCACACCAAAAGCACAAAGCCACTGCAATTGCCTCCCCCAGAAGCCCAGCAGGGTTAGGAGGCTGTTTGAAATTATGAAAACAGGATAAACTTTCAAGTCATATTCACATATTCCTCAGTGTTTCCACTTACTAGAATAAATAATTCGCTTGGCTGTGACCCACAACGGAACTGCCTGACCACTTCAGGACTCACTGTCCTTCAGTGTTAACAAACCTGAAGATTTGTTCCATTCTGATTTCTAAAACTCTCTGCAGGTAAGCCCGAGGTGCAAGTGTCTGTACATCAGCCACACGCCTTATTCAGTTAAACTCAGTAGATGAAACCCAAAACTTTTGATGACTTAAATTCTTCTTTTCCTGTAAGATAGTTCGAGGAAAGTACATGTAAAAAAACCCAGAAGCTGTACTCAGTGAGGAACAGGAATTTTATTTAAATCTACTTCATGCGTAAGCATGGTAGAACCCCGATTTAACTTTGGCAAATATCACAACAAAAAGAAAAAAAATAAACAAGCAGCCTATACAGAACAGTGAAAATGCCAAGGGTGTGTGGGTTCTCCACAGTTTCACTGCAGAGCAAATGGATTTAGAAGCCTCACTTTGGCTATATCATTTATAACCATTTAATTAAATAAAGGTAGTCTTTCACTATCACTTCTTGACTTCTCCAAGGTCTTCGATGCTGTCATCATCCACCTAGGGGAAAAAAAAAGCAAAACACAGCAAAGTAAATGTATTTTCTTTTTACATGTCTCATTTAATATTCACCCCTGTAAATGCAATGAGGTGTGACAGAAGTAAACAGCACCTTCCCAAATTCCCTGCTGTAAATTTTGTGTGAATGACACGTGCTCATAGGACACAGCTGAGCCTCCAGGGCTCACAATAAACACAGCCCTATGGAGTTATTTCAGAAAGAATTCCACTTGGGAAATACCAGGACAAGGGAGAGTCAGAGAAAGCATTTGCAATTACAGCTCTCAACCATCAATTTTGGTCCAACCCCAAATTAGCTCTTCTTCTGAAGCATAAGTGTGTAGGGTTTAGGATTGTTTGTTTGTTTGTTTAAATTTTGCTATATTTTAAGAGGTGTTGAAAAATAGGATGGCAATGTAAGAATACTCAGACATTCACTGTTAAGAAATGGTCACAAAGAAGCCACAGCTGGACTTATTCCGACATGCCTCCCTCACTGTAGGGTGGGAATGCAACAACTGCTCTTTTGTTTTTGTGCAACAACCTGTGCTGCCAAAGATGAAGCCCTTTTCCAAAATCATCAGAAAGTCCCAGGTTACTGGGGAAAAGTAGAGACCTGACAGAAGGAAGGGGTTATTACCTCGGGCCACTTCTCCTGGATTACATCAATAATGTCATCTGTAAAATCCCCCTGAATGATGATTTCATCTTCTCCTGTTACTGAGGCACCGCAGGAAAATTTCTGAGCAAAGAACCTTTGTGCTTCCTTAAGATCGATTTCTGTTGAGGGGAAAATGGACAGTTTAAGTACAGTCACTGACATCAAAGTATTTTCTCAAGTTTAAAGCCCAAATCTTGTTTTAACTGTTGAAAAAATAGTGGCATTTTATAGCTGAAGCTTTGCTATGCTTTCCACTGAAAGCAAAGTCTGTTGTTTACACCCAAAACATCTGACTCTACAAATCCAGCAAATGCTTCAAAGTAAAAACTGCTGAATGTCCTCTACGTGTTCTGTTCCCGTGGGCCTGTGCTGCACACACTCACCAGAAAAGCACATGCAGAAATGTTTAAAAAACACCTCCACTTCTGAACAACTCCTATGGTTATTGAACAAGTTTCTCCATAGAGGTGTTCTTTCCAGAAACATGCCCCAACACTTTTTGGGACTGGCTTCCAGCACAAAGATACCCAGTTTAGATCAAGGTCTTACTGATCCCTCAAGAGATCAGATGATGCTCTCATGGAGGAAATATGGGACATGGCTTGTTAATCCAAAAAAGGTTAAAACTTACCTTTCTTTACAGAATTTGTGATCAGTGTGTGAAGTAAGATGTTACAAATGCTAAGTGGTTGTCTGCAGCTGAACCAAAGCTGTGCAGGACAGCATTAAGCTGGTAATCATTTGACTGTCTGATTAGAAAGGCAGTTCAAGCCTTACTTTAACAGTCTCAAGAGCAGGTGAATTTAACTGCCAATAACATATTTACAGGTTTGATGGAAATGAGAGGGTTTTTTTGAAAATAAACATCTCCATAATTAAAGACAACAGACTAGTCTGAAGTCTAACAAGTGAAGCCCTGTTTCCAAAAACCCTATTTGTTTGACAAAAACACGGGAATAAGGACTTGAATAATTTATCCCTGAGGGAAGTCGGTGTACCTTTGGAACTGCTAAAAGCACCTTGGGACTTTCACCTCACACAGATAGAAGCAGGTCACCCAGTGGAATACAATCAGAAGACATATCATGAGGTTAAAGGCAGGTTAAAGTCAACTCACCAAACGTTGCCAGGCCACACACTCTGGTGACATATTTTTTCTTTGCTCTGGGAATTTTAGCTATCGTAACTTTCTGTGGCACAGTCTTCTTTTTCTGTTTTATCTGACCTCTTCCACCTTTAAAAGAGACCATAAGGTTACATGGTTAGTTAAATGGTGACACACTTCATCAAAGAAAAAAGCGTATGAGGTCAGATTTAATCCCTAAAAACAAAGAGACTGTTATCTCCCCAACTGTGTTGGTAAAAAAAAAAAGGTATTTTGCACATTGTCTCGGGTTTATTATTATTTAAGAAAGATCCCATGTCACCAAAGCTCAATATTAAGAGAAATAATAATATATACGTGTCAAATGTGCATTCAAGTATGGGTTGCACAGCAGAAACCCCACTACAATTAGCAAAAAAAGGGCTTTTCCCCACATTTTACTATCACTGTGCTTGGTCTACATTAAACTGCTCTTTCAGGAACTGTTCTTTGGTTTGTAGTCTGGGGAACAAATCGTTATTTTAATGTTTTTTACAAGTTTAACATCGCCAGGGTCTGTGCCCGAGGCAAAGCAACCTCCTCATGTTCATTCACGGGGGCCACGAGCCGGGTTACGCAGCAGGTGAAATTCTGGATATCCAAACACGACCCCAGAACAAACCAGGCACTGATTTATGAGCCAGCAGCAAACCCACACCTCTGAAATGAGGCAAAACTGCACAGCATTGAACATCACCCTTCCCACTGGCTGTTTCTAGGCCAACCTGTGGGAACACTTCACATGTGGGGCATTTATTAGGCTGGGCAAAGCATGGAAAAGTTACATTCCACTAATTAGGATTCTTCAAGGTAGATTAAGATCTCAGCTGACTTTGTGTACAGTCATCAAGTTACTCCAGGGTAACAAAGTTTGATGTTCCTGAGCATTCTCAGCATGAAAACCTAAAGAATTCAGAACAAACAAACTAAGCCCTGTGACTATTTCTTTTCCTAACACACAGCACTTTGAATTCTATATTATTATAAATTGATACCTGATAATTTTAAAGACAGTAAATTTCTGTCTTAAAATTGCCTCAGCAAATTCCTGCAGTGTCTTTGTAAGTTTAGGCTTATTTTTCCTCACCCTCTCTCTCTGCACTCAATCTTAAATCATCATATTTAACACCAGACTGTAAGTTTTCATGAAACTTTAGATGAGAAAACCCCTAAATATTTTAAACACTGTTATTTCAGAACCAAAACCCAGACTGAACACTAACAGTACCACCACACACAATAAATTAATGCTGAAAGAAAATGTCCTGAAATCCCTGGGAAAAGCATCCAAGCTACAGAACATAAATTACTGTTGTCACTAGACACTGCCTACTGACAAGGCAAACAAAACTGGTTACCAAGACACAAAAATAAAACCTCTGCTTAAAATGTGTGGCTTAAAATGTGAATCTAACTTGGTACAAATATAACTTCTGAAGCACTACTCACAATTGGCAGTGCACAAGCAAATATCTATTAATAAGAATCCCAGCACTCTGATTTATGGTGGAAAGTATGTTAATTAAACAGCAAGAACTCCAATGATAGAAGATGGAAGTGCATTTAAGTAGTTTCATATATTTTTTTTATCTTCCAAAGCTGAGTTTTGAAAATGTTTTTCATTAGCATTGCTGGGAAGAGACGTGGCTGTCAGTGGAGACACAGGTAACAGATTTAAAAGCATAAAACCAAATCCTGCTACGTGAATCCAGAGAGGGGGAAGGAACAAAGCCAAAGAGTCATGAGGCATTTAAGGAGGAAAGCAGTCTTTGTTCTGCTCTGCAAACAACCTATAAACTGCTGCTAAACAGGGCAGGAACGAGTATTCCGGGAGGAATGCCAGCTGATTTCAGTTGGGAAGAACTACTCCCTGGATAAGTGTGATAGCCGTGACAGGAACAATGAGACACAGGATGCAGGTCCCCTTTCCCTGGCTGTGCCTATCCCTGCTCTCCAACCACAGGTCACCACACCAACTGCTGCCATCAGGAGAAAGATAATCACTATCTTCTGTGCAGTCACAGCACAGCTCACAACCAAAATCCAAGGAATTCGTGCCCTGCACAAATTCCAGACCAGCGGGTGAGAAAGGGATGCCCCGAACTGCTTAGAAATCAGTACCACAATCAACTATTTAGACCTTGCCTCTCTTTTGCTTCTTCTTCTCCTCTTCTTCTCCTCCCACATTTCCTTGGCCTTCTCCAACTCCAGCTTCTTGTTTAGGTGAATTTTCTTAAGTGCATCAGAAAGGAGTGAGGGGGAAAAAGAACAAAATTAGTGGTCAGACACTCACAGCCTTGCAGGAGCAGGATGGCACAATGGTATTTTGCTACATCAGTAAACTCTGCTGAAATGCAGCAGCCCCTTGACTGACATGTGTTACATCTTCATTGCAGTACTTATGCAAATTAAATAAATGCTAATGTTTGTACTGAAATTCCAATCAAATATATTTCACAGCAGGCTCCTAAGAAAAGTATTAACTTCCACATGATACAGCAGGAAAAGGGAAGAGATGAGAACGGGACAAGCTCCAAGATTTCTGAATATGTCTGAGGGCACATATCAGCTGGAAAGCAGATGAAGATTCTTACCTACTGTAAGTTTTGCAAACTCATCTGGAAAATTCTTTTCTAACCATTGTCTGCATTTAGTCACATCAGGCATGTATTCACAGTACTAGAGAAAAATCACAAGAATGTTGTTAGTGGAGGAAAGACAAAATACATCACAAATACACCAAAATACATTTGCTATTCAGCTCAGCTATTTGTCCTTAATATGACTGAATATAAATATTAGCACATAAGAAACCTCATGTTATCCTAAGGATGACAGTGGCTGGAGCACAACTAAGAAAAGACAGAAAATATCAGGAAGAATCATCATAGTCAGGAATCACAGGACAGAAAGAAAAAATTCAGACAACAAAATAATTAACTCACCTCTGTTGGCAATGAACAGACTGGAGAAAGAAGGGGAAAAAAAGGATTAAAAAAAAAAAAAAGAACAGATTACAAAAAGTTCTCCACTTACAGCCTCAGTGTTAAGTTCCAAATCAAAGAATCAGAGAACACTCTGAGTTGGAAGGACCCACAAGGATCATCGAGTCCAACTCTTAGCCCTGCTTACATCAGAACTTCTGGTTATAATCCCACACTGGCTCAAGACCATTCCTGTATTGACGCCACTCCAGATTTTAATTCCTCTCCCATTAGACCTGTGCTCACATGCTCTGCTTTAGGATAAAACCACCCCTGCCTTTCTGCAGGACGAGATCTGAGCTCCCACCCTTCCACACCCAGAGAGCCGTCAGTCCTCTGTCTCTCAGAGGGGGAAGATCCCTTGCATTTCACCAAAAATGTTTGGGATAAAATACACAACGAAGCTGTCACAGAAAGATAACTGGAAAAGTCAAGATGACCACGGCCCAGCTTCTCAGTACAATCTGACCAAAAGGGACTCTCTCTTTCTCTCTGCCCTCACAAGCAGCACGCTGAGGGGATCTGGTGCCCTTCCAGCACTTGCCTCCGCAGTAGAGGACCCGCAGGGGGTAGTCGGAGTCCGGCCTGGCACCGCTCCTCCCGTCCCCTCTGCAGTCGGGGACCACGGGCTCGGCGACATCCGTGGCCATGTCACACGCCTGGCGGGACACAGGAGGGAAGAATCAGGACCCAAGTTCTGGGTTTGAGTTTGTGCCATCCCTCCCAGCTCAACGAGAATCCCGGAGATTGACAGACCCCAGAGAAAACGGGAGCGAGCATGAGGAGAGATCAGGGAGGAGAAAACAGGAGTCAAATAATAATGAAAAAATATGGGGGAAATGGCTACAAAAGATGCCAAACAGTATGGAATTCTAGCGCATTACTGCCATGAAACCCAGCGTAAATGAAGGAAGACTTTTAGGAAACCCACATGGAATTACAGAACACTGGATTAAGCACAATGTGAATTATCAGGTTAAATCAGTGGCATATGAACAGTGGGGGCACTGGGGATCAGGGGAGGGACCTCTCGCACAGTGGCAAAGAAAAGGGGCCATGTAAATCCGTGCCTGAAGAATTGCAATCCAAGGACACTGGCAAAAAGCCTCAAACCCCACAAAACAAGCAAACCAAACTCAGCCCACTAATGGACTCAGTGCTGGTTTGCACACACAGGTTTTCAGTCCAGGGGATTAGAAAACAGGAGTGAAGAAGGAAAGAATTTGGAATACACAAGAAGTCCCCCAGGGCTATGGGAGCAAACGGGATGTGTGAGGGGCCTTGGAGCCAGGACAAGCTGTGCTGGGCAGTGAGGAATGCTGAGGGCTCCAGAAGGGGTGAGGGTTGGGGTAGGGGGACAAGGAGAGGCACGAGATAGCCACAGCGAGGGGAAGGATCCTGGGGTATCCATGGAGACCCCAAATGGGGGAGGGAGGGTGCTGGGGGGTTATGGGGCAAAAATGAGGACAGGTCGGGGGAAAGGGTGATGGGAAACCAGACACGGTGGGATGGGGGAGCAGAGCTGCGGGAATCGGGGGATAGAGCTGAGGGGAAGGGGGAGATAGAGATGAGAGGATGGAGGAAACAGAGCTGAGGGGATGGGTGGTGGGGGCAGAGCTGAGGGGATGGATGGGTGGTGGGGGAAGAGCTGAGGGGATGGGTGGTGGTGGGGGCAGAGCTGAGGGGATGGGGGTGGCACAGAGGAGGAAATGGCACTCCGGGTACCTGAGGAGGGTCGGGCTCGCAGCGCGGGGCGGTGCCGGGGCTGAGGGAGCGGTGGGCTCCGGGTACCCGAGCGGGGAGGACGCTGCGGTACCAGCACCGGGGGGGTCCCTGCGATGAGACGGAGCTGTGCGGGAGGCGGCGGACGGGGGCTGAGCGGGGCTGGGGGCCCGGTGGCGGTCCCGGCGGTGGTGGCAGTGGCGGTGGTGGCGGTCCCGGCGGTGGTGGCAGTGGCGGTGACGGTCCCGGCGGTGGCAGTGGCGGTGCCGGCGGTCCCGGAGGCCCCTGGGGCCGCGGCGGGTCCCGCTCCCTCACCCCGCGCGCACGTGCGCCCGCCCCAGCGCCGCCGTCTCGCGAGAGGGGCGGGCACGGTGTGACCCCGCCGGGCCGCCGTACCGGGGAGGGGGCCCGCCCGAGACACTTGCTCCGCCGAGCTACGGAGCGCCGCAGCGGCCATTCCCGGCCGTGCCGCCGCCATGCCGCGGTACGCGCAGCTGGTGATGGGCCCGGCGGGCAGCGGGAAGGTGAGCGGGGAGCGGCGGTGGAGGGGGGACGTGGGCTGGGGGTGGGAGGCCCCGGGCAGCCCCTGACGGGCGTGTGTGCCTTGCAGAGCACGTACTGCTCCACCATGGTGCAGCACTGCGAGGCGCTGGGCCGCGCCGTGCAGGTGGTGAACCTGGACCCGGCGGCAGAGCTGTTCAGCTACCCCGTGATGGCAGGTGAGCCCCGGTGCGGACATCACAAGAGCGGCTGGGTCCGGTCTTGTGCCCCAAAGTGCTCAGCACCTATGTCAGATTAATGTAGTCTTGCCATGCTGCTGCCTCCCCACCCCGGGGACTGATGCTCTTGTGCCCGCTGGTGCCTAATCCCTGTATTTACCTGGGACAGTGATTAATATCTACCTGCTCGTGTCGGAACAAAGCGTGCCTACACAGAGACGATAAGGAAAGTACATCCTGACCTGACCTCGTAGTTGAGACACTTTCAAAGAGAAGAGATTCATTAGCGGGTCCGGGACCATGAAAGGAAAATCTGGGGAATGGGATGTTCCCCAGACGGGCACCAGGGACCTTCAAAAGACTCCCACTCAGATCTAGATCGGTCAGTGGAAGCATTTAGCATACACGTGTGTATTCAGGAAATGTAATGAATATGAGTTCACGAGTACAGGTCCCCGTGCACCCCATGCTGCAGTGGTGGAATGTTGGCTCTCTGACCTCCCAGGCTGTTTGGAGGGTTTATTCCCGGTGTTTGGTGTTGCCACAGACATCCGTGAGCTGATAGAGGTGGACGATGTGATGGAGGATGAATCCCTGAGGTTTGGCCCCAATGGAGGTCTGGTGTTCTGCATGGAGTACTTTGCCAACAACTTCAACTGGCTGGAGGAGAGCCTGGGGCACGTGGAGGATGATTATATATTGTTTGACTGCCCAGGTAAACACACCCCAATGTTTTGGTATCGTTTGGTATTTTATGTCACAGGATAAAATTTGCAGTGCTTTGGGGTTAGTTAGTCGTGATAATTCACTTTTTTTTGCATTATTAAGAACTGTCAGAGTCACTTCCAGATGTTTCAGGAGTGAACTCCGTCCTGGGCTGCTCTGGGTGACTGCACTGGTGTTTGGTACCAACATGTGGTGTGGGGACACTGTGGCAACTGCAAGTAACACTTAATTGGAGGTCAAGGGAGGGAAAAAAAACCCTTTTATTTCTTTTCCACTTCACCAGAGTTGCCTAAAAGAGGATGCTTTTCTGACCCGTTTTTATTTATATTAAGTGGGATTCCATGTTTATATATAACTGTGAAATACTGCTGTTTGTTTCCCATTCCTACCCATTGATATCCTGAGTGTGCCCCAGGTCAGATCGAGCTCTACACGCACCTGCCAGTGATGAAACAGCTGGTGGAGCAGCTCCAGCAGTGGGAATTCCGTGTCTGTGGAGTGTTCCTCGTGGATTCTCAGTTCATGGTGGAATCTTTCAAGGTACCCATTTGAAAGCTGTTGGAAAAGTTCATACTGATGAAGAACAAAAAGTCTGGGCCATTCAGGGAGCTGGGTTTGCCTGGAGGAGAAAATGCCAAGCCCAGGGAGATTTGTCTTCATCTGCCTCAGACGTGGGTTGCAGCAAAGAGTTCCCAGTTGGATGTAAAGAAAACCAGCACTGGGAGAGTGGTCAGACTGCAGCAGGCACAGAGATGGTGCAGTGAACGCTCATGGAGTCAAAACCTGACTGGGCAGCCTGGTCTGACTTAGAAGCTGCTCTGTTTGAGCAGCTGGAGGACCCAGATAACCTCCAGAAGTCTCTTCCATTTTAAATCCTTGAACCTCATGCGATTCCATGAGAGCCTTCTCAGATCTGGAGAGTGAGCAGGCCACCTTCCCCACTGAGCAGGAACAATCCCTGGAAGGGTTTGGGTTTTCTTAATGCCCTTTCCAGTGGCAGATCCAGATCTGCGGCTCCAAAAATAGGTGGGATACTTGGCACCTCCCTTTTCCAACAGGAAACTCCTCATATCCCAACTCCTCATATGGCTTTGTGTCCATGTTCCATATATTCATTACTAGATTTGGTCTGGGGTTGAGTGTGCTGGGTTTGTGTTTTTCTGTACTTTAATACATCATTTTTCATTCTCTTTTCAGTTTATCTCTGGAATTCTGGCAGCACTCAGTGCAATGATCTCTTTAGAGATTCCACAGATTAACATCATGACCAAAATGGACTTGCTGAGCAAGAAAGCCAAGAAGGAAATAGAAAAGTAAGTCCCAAAAAATTATTTACTCTGTAGTGTGATACATTGAGGCAAAGTTCACTCAAAATTTAGTCTAATGTTTCCCACAATTTAAACATCCTCTTCTGAAATGGGACAAGATGGATTTGGTTTATATTAAACATAGTCTTTAAACAGCTGAATAGGACGCTTACAGTTTAGTCAGAGTCAAAAGAACAGCTCCATGTTTGTACTGATCTTTGGATTTTTCTGTAAATAATCATCTTGGATCTCTTGTGTCATTCTAAATGACAGACTTTCAGTGTTAATGATGACTTTTGTTTCTCCCAGGTACTTAGACCCAGACATGTATTCTATGATTGAAGATTCTACAAATATATTGAAAAGCAAAAGGTTTAAAAAGCTGACTAAATCTATATGTGGACTGGTAGGTATATTACTTTTGAACTGGTATCCTTAAATTCAATATCACTTTTTGCCTGTTTTAACTCAGCTCTTTATTTTTTCAGATTAGCATCAGCTTCTTGATGCTGTTGATACTAAACTCTCGATATTTAGATTGTAGCCAATGCATTTCCTGGGAACCCTTTGGGAAATGTTTTTTTCTACTGTGTAGAACTCAGATGTCCTGAGTGGGGAATTGCCACTGTTCTGCAGCGTGGCTTTAAGTGGTATTTTAGCAGTGCAGACACGTGTGGTTTGAGGAGGTGGCTCAAAAGTGCTGTGACTGAGAGTTAACTTACTGCATTTTGGTTTGGCTCCTCCCCCCAGATTGATGACTACGGAATGGTTCGATTTCTGCCTTTCGACCGCTCCGACGAGGAAAGCATCCACATCGTCCTGCAGCACATTGACTGCACCATCCAGTACGGAGAGGACCTGGAGTTTAAGGAGCCAAAGGTAAGGGGATTCTGGGGAGGAGATGAAGAAATTTAAAAAGGATCCACAATATAAATATGTTCTTTGCCTTGCTGATAAATTATTGTCTCAGTACGGTTCAGAGCAGCCCATCTTTAGTCTGTTGGTGGCAATGCCTGGATCGCCTTCATTTACAGTTAAAAAAGTGGAATTCTTTAATAGCATCTTGCATATGCAGATTGATCAAAGGGTTGTGTTTGAAAGTAATGCTTTAGGTTTCCGACATCAACAGAATTTTAACTTTCAAATGTCAGAAAAGACTATTGATATCACTATGATTTTTTCCTGCCTGACTGTTCAAACTCTCCTGATAATTCCTGTGTGCAACCCATGTGAGACAGAGATTAGAAATAAATTCTGTTGTGTAAAATACATCATAGAAGACTGTGTTAAAATCTGTTCCAAGCCTTCTCTAGTTTTATTATTCAGCTCATAAAACCTAAGGAACAAGTCCAGTGCTTTTATTCCATTTTTAAATTCATTTTTGACTCTTCTGTACTGCAGAATACTTGGATCTAGATTTTAACCTATATATAAAGTTTGTATTTTTCTGTTTTCTCTTTGGCAGGAATGTGAAGAAGATAAATCTGCTCTTGTGGATGAATACTTTCAGGATCGTGTGGATGAGTAAAAAAAAAATCCATTCAAACTGGGAGGAAAATACTTTCTTTGTGGTAAAAATTAAAAATGAAAAAAAAAAATCCCAACCCCTCCACAAACACACTTAAATGTTTTATCTGTAAGATAACTAATATTTATAGTGAACAGTGAGTTACATGACCTCAAAACTATTTTAATAAACAGTTTTTTATTCTTGTGTGTGTATGTGTTATAAAATATATAGGCCAGTGTTAGCACATATAAAAGTTCCCCTCATACAGATATATCTCATTTCAGCATAGGAATGCTTGAAACAAATTCATGATTTGCCAGACAGACAAAGCTGAGTCTAAGTATGTTGCTTAGTAGTTAGTTTCATTACTTTAATGAAATGACTTTAAGTGGTTTATTCATCGATAACATCTTCAGTACAGTGTAACACTTAAAGAAAGAAAATCACCTTAAACTCAGTGAGGATCTTGTGAAATTGATGTCATTTTGTAGGAGCAGCTTGGTCAGTAGATGTCTGAGTGTGAGGATTCCCCTTAATGGGAACCAAACCAAGGAGTGAATACTTGGAGGCAACTGCACTTACCTGACCCTGGGGTGAGAGCAGCTTGGCAGAGCTGAGCTTTGTAGTTTCTCGCTTCTAGTCTGGAAGGTGTAATTTTTTTTCTTATTCAGGGGTAGGGTTGTTCTTATGTCTGTTTAAATAAAAGGTTCACTATTGATATGGTGCTTATTTTTGAAGTAAGGATCTGCTTTTTCTGAAGCACAGCCAGAACTGGGAGAAAGGTTCAACAGAGCAGCAAATCCTGCATGTTTAGTGGAAAAGGGTTCCCAAAAATCCCTACGTGGCAGAACTTGATGTGACTAAATTAAACCACTCAAACACTGGGGCAACTTGGATCACTTAACTCACCTCCAGACTGACACATCCTTGGGCCAAGTTGAAAGGACAAAGCCCAGCCCTGCAGTTGGATTACTCTGACTCACCTTCCAACCCTCCCCATTTTTTCGCCCCGACTCATGCCATGAATCATTTACCAGGGGCAAATTCAGCATGCTAGGTTGTAGGGAAGGTTATGGCTTGATAGTAATAGGAGTGTGCACCTGAATATATTGTACCCCTGTGAACACAACGTTTTGTCCTTCCTTACACCGGGGCAGCCGAGTGCCCTGTGCAGCCGGCTGCCTTTGCACCAGGTCAGAGCAGGAGACCCTCCAGGAGCTCTGGAAATGCGCAGGACAGTGAACCAGCTGCGAGCAAAGCATCCCCGATGCGCTCTTGTGATGCTGACATGGCCGAGACTGGAGCTCACCTCTCAGATGTCAGCGTGGCTGGAAAAGAAAAGGGTGGCACGGAGTGACCGAGGAGGGGTTACCTGCAGTGCTGGCCACAGCAAAGGCAGAGAGAGAGGGAAACCCCATAGGATGGTAAAAAGCAAAGTCCCCAGCAGAGCGTGCTTTCAAAGGCCCTTCCCAGCGCGGGCAGCGCCCGGGCAGAGCGGTGCCTGCCGCGATCCCTTCCTGGTGCGGTGCCCCCGGGGCGGTGCAGGCTCCGCTTCCGCGCTCGCACCGCCTCTGCCGCTGCCTCATTTCCTGCAGCGGGGGCGGAGGGAGCTCTGTGTTCGCTCACTTGGACGTTCGCCCGCTCCCCTCCCGCCCGGCCCCGCCGAGCCGCCTCCTGCCCTTCGAGATGCCGGTGAGCGGCGGGTGCGACGGCGGGCCGGGGAAGGGGCTCCGCGGCGGGGTCTGGCTGGGGGGAAGAGGGGCTGGGAGCCCTGCGGAGAGAGGGGGAAGGCTCGTATGGGAGGCTGCTGCAAGGCCAGCGCCCTCTTTTTCTTCCTCTTCCTCCCTCTGGCAGGGATCCACCCGCAGCCGGGAGGGTGGGACCCGGCGCCAGCGGGGCAGAGGGTGGTCAGAGCAATACCTGGCTCTGCCTTTGTTCACACCACCTTCCCCTGGGTCGAATAAACTGCTTTTTACACCCTGTCACATCCTTCTCTGCCCCCCCCCCCAAAAAAAAAAACAAACCTGGGCTGGGAGGAGGTGAAGGATTCCCAGTGGGATGGCACAGCACGGTGGGAACATTTGGAAAGTGTTCCAAAATAATAATCTTATCAGTTGAAATCGGTTTTCCAGAAAGAATCTGTCATATGCAGAAAGCCTTTTTTTTTTTTTTTTTTACTTAAACCAGTTTTAGAGTGCACTGAAAGGCCTTTATTTTTGAGTGTGCTAAGCCTGGTTTTATTTATAATTATCTACTATTATTAGCTAGACATGGAAATAAGATACATAATTTTTAAAAGACCAACTCGTTTTCAGTGAACTACACAGGGCCCCCCAGATGGGGTCAGGGAGCCAGGGGGGATGAACTGTGCCTGCAGATCAGCCACATGGATTTTATCCTGTCTCCCACCACCACGACTGCAAGTGGTGCCAGTGCTGATGCTCTCCTGGCATTGACAAGAATGGCATCAAGTTCTGGGCCTTATTAGAAAACAGTGTTTGTGCAGGGAAACATTGCTGGGAGCATCGCAACGAACTAGACTGTGACTCCTGTTTGTGCAGACACAGGGGATGTGATTGCACAGGATCAATAACCAGCTTTCCCCCTGTCCTAGGCTTACCACTCCACATTAATGGACTCGGACACCAAGCTAGTTGGGAACATGGCACTGTTACCCATCAGAAGCCAGTTCAAGGGCCCAGCACCTCGGGAAAGTAAGTTTATAATAATGTCTGAAAACCTGCCTGGATGTGGCTCCTCATCTCACGGGTTGCTCCAAGAGCAAGAGGGACAAGAGGAGTCAGCGGTGGGAAATGGAGAGGTTTGCAGTTTGTAGAGGAGGAAAGAAGTTCTCAAATAGTTAAGCTGTGCAGGTTGAGGTTTTTGGGGAGGATGTGATGGTGTGAACCCTCCGTGTCGGAGGAAGTGGGGGTTCAGCTACAGAGAACTCGCTCTGGTCTGTGGCTGGAGACACTCAGCTGCTCCGGAGCCCAGGAGTGGGACAGGCAGCACTCAAGGAGTGGGACAGGCACTTCCACCTCAGGGTGAGGAGCTGCAAAAATTGATCCTTTCATGCTCTTAAAACTCTGAGGATTTACTCAGCTGGTAGAAAAATGAGGAACTGCTGAATTTGCTGCTGTTTGTGAAGAGAGATAGCACAGGGGAAGGAGAATAAGGGAGTTAAAGCACCTAATAAGAGTAGGAAGCTTAAATGTTTCAGTCTGAGCTCCTCAGTGTTTCACATGTTCTCTGTTACACAGTGCTGACTTCTGCTTTTTGTATTGCCTTTGCAATAATGCTTATTTATGTATTTCAGTGAGTAAAAGTTATGACAAATGAAGTGTAACAGTGCAGTGTTTAACTCTGTATTTCTTTTTTGTTAGCTAAGGACACTGATATCATAGATGAAGCCATCTACTACTTCAAAGCTAATGTTTTCTTCAAAAATTACGAAATTAAGGTAGTTTTTTTTAATATACTCTGCTTGTAGTAGTTCTTTGGGAGGTTGGTGCTGTGAATATAAATTTATTTTCAAGGAAATAATTCTATTAGATCACAAAATTTCCCCTTCCACTTAATCTTTAAAGCTGGGTAGATGTCTTGAATTGCAAGTCCCTCTCTCATGGGGAAACTAGGCCAAAATGGCTTGAACTCATTCTTGTTTCAGACTTTTATCAGTTCCACAAAGTGTCCCTTAATCTAAGAGTTCCTGGGCTCTGTGCTTGCTCTTGTTGTGCAGAACGAGGCTGACAGAACACTGATCTACGTCACCCTCTACATTTCTGAGTGCCTGAAGAAGCTGCAAAAGGTAAGAAAAGTGAATTTCTGTGCAGGAGGGAAACAGAGTCTGTTCTGGGGATTGTACTCAGGAAAGGATTTCCTGATATTCTCCTCCCAGTGACACAAACAATCCTGGTCACGGCAGTCCCAGCTGTCAGAGCCACAGATACTCCAAGGCTGTGTATGTTATGTTGCTCTTCTTGATGAGTTTTTAAGCGTTACAGATTGGTAAAATATTTGGGTCTAATGCTCCCTCAGCTTTTGTTTGTAACTGCTAATCCATTGTTTGCCTGGTTCTTCCAGTGTAACTCCAAAGGCCAAGGAGAGAAAGAAATGTACACACTAGGAATCACTAACTTCCCAATCCCTGGGGAGCCTGGCTTTCCACTTAATGCCATTTACGCCAAACCTGCCAACAAGCAGGAGGAAGGTAAGGCTGATCCAGCCCCTCTGTCAGCTGCATTTCTGTGACTGCAATTAGGAAAATTACCGTTAAAACTGGATTTTCTAAATACGTGGTCTGTCCTCCGAAGGCAGCACAAGCTGGATTTTCTGACCTCAAGGGCCCAGTGACTCCCCTGGATCCATGGATCCAACACAACAAATTTATAGGGTCCAGGAATACCTTTTGCATCAGGTAATCCCAGCTAAACCCTAGTAATGGAGCTCAAGCCAGAATAGGAAGGCCACAATAATGAGCAAAGGTGACTGAGAGAAGAAAACAGTTTGGATGATACTTTTTACTGGTAAAAATGTCTTAAAAATTCCAAATATTGCTGTAAATTGAGCAAACCAACTCAGCCAGCTGGCGAGCACGTGCAGATGAGAAACTCTCTCCTGAAGCAGTGCTATCTGATGCCTCCCTGTAAAATCCAGTCTGACTCAGCTGCTCCCCAGTTTACCCTGGTTTCCCTGTGCTGCTTTCAGAGGTGATGAGGGCCTACCTGCAGCAGCTGAGGCAAGAGACCGGCCTTCGCCTCTGCGAAAAAGTGTTTGATCCTCAAAGTGACAAGCCCAGCAAGGTGAATGACTCTAAAGTCACTATTTTATCCATCAGATGGAAAATACTTTTGCATATTTTCTGACTTTGTGCTTCCTTTTGCAGTGGTGGATCTGCTTTGTGAAGAGGCAGTTCATGAACAAGAGTCTCTCAGGCCCTGGGCAGTGAAGAGGCAAAGTGGCAACAACTTTAAGTGTTTCCACAGCAAGATGTTCCTGTCTTTTGCCTTTGTTTTGGATGCATTTTGTACCAGGGAAGAACTAACTGCTTATGAAGAAAAAAAAAAAAAAAACAAACCTGTCAATGAGGGGTGAAGGGGGAGGGGGAGAGCAAAAAGATAAGTTGTGTAAGCAAAAATTATTAAGCTGGTGCTTAATAAGTGATTTTCTACACGCTGTTTCAGATGCAACCTGCTTTGTTGTTGTGGCTACAGCATCTAAAACAGCACTGGTATTTAAGAGAAGAAATGGGCCTGCTGTGGGGCAAGGGAGCTGTGTCATTGCTCTGCTGGCTGGAGTCAGTGTCAGTGTCCAGGGCAAACAGACCTCTCATGCCGCGTTGTCCATGAAGTGATTTTTACACTGTATTCATTAAACTTCGCTTGTAATTAATGTGGTAACTGCTGTGTGCCCCATGGACAATTTTCAGGGAAATCAGAGAGGTGGGTTTTTTGTGAAAGGACCTGCTCTGGTGAGGAACTCCCCTGCAGAGCCTCCAGCCCTGGGGTCCCAGCACTGGAAGAACATGGAGCTGTTGGAGCGAGTCCAGAGGAGGCACCGAGGTGATCAGAGGGCTGGAGCAGCTCTGCTGGGAGGGAACTGGAATTGTTCAGCCTGGAGAAGAGAAGCTCTGGGGTAACCTAAATGTGGCTTTTCAGTACCTGAAGGGAACTTACAGGAAAGGTGGGGAGAGATTGTTTACAAGGGCCTGGAGTGACAGGACAAGGGGGAATGGCTTCACACGGACAGAGGTTTAGATTAGATATTAGGAAAAAATCCTTCCCTGTGAGGGTGGGGAGGCCCTGGCACAGGTTGCCCAGAGAAGCTGTGGCTGCCACATCCCTGGAAGTGTCCAGGCTGGACGGGGCTTGGAGCAACCTGGGCTAGTGGAAGGTGTCCCTGCCCATGGCAGGGGGTTGGAACGAGGTGATCTTCAAGGTCCCTTCCAACCCAAACCATTCTCTGATATTTATGATTATTGTGTAACATTATTCAGTAGAAAGTGAATAATTCCTACTGAAAACAGCGGGATTGATGCAGGAGCTGCAGTTTCAGCATTTTACCTGTTTATTTAGCAGGTCTGTCTTCACAGAGCTGTGCTCCACTGTACTAAAGTGCATTCCAATGGTACTGCAGGCAGATCCCACACAGCTGGGTCTGTGGCTGCCTTCCTGGATTCAAACACACCCAAACTCGTAAAAACTGGCTGTTCTGTCAGTTGGATGGTTTCTGGAAGAACACAAGTCCAAGTTTGGTTTGTTCAGTTTTTTTTCCTTCATGGCAGTGCTGGTCTCACTGACACCACACAGCACCAGCGCACTTTTAGTGTTACCTGAAGCCCAGTGCTGGTGATGTTTTGCTGCCTGGCGTGTTTGTTTGGCTGAGAGCTGTACGTACTCCTCTCCAAACAGCAGTGAAGGCATGTCCAAACTAAAAGCTCCCACTTTAGGCTGCAGCAGCCAGCAGAAAGTATTCTCAGGACCAGGGGCAGACTCCGGAGCAGGGGGGAGGCACAGGGAGCATGTGTCTTCCATGGGAGACACAGAACCGAGCAAGTGCGAGGGGATCCCCTCAGACCTGATGCCTGAACCCGCCCTCCCTTCAGATCCCCCTGTCTCCCCTCACACCCCCTGTCTCCCCTCAGATCCCCTGTCTCCCCTCACATCCCCTGTCTCCCCTCACATCCCCTGTCTCCCCTCACACCCCCCTCGATCCTCTCACAACCCCTGTCTCCCCTCACACCCCCTCTCTCCTCACAACCCTGTCTCCCCTCACACCCCTTCTCCTCTCACAACCCCTCTCTCCTCACACCCCCTCTCTCCCTCACAACCCCTCTCCCCTCACACCCCCTCTCCCCTCACAACCCCTCTCCCCTCACACCCCCTCTCTCCCCTCACGGCGCCGGGAGGGGTCCTCGGCGCGGCGCGCGCTCCTCCCCGGGCTGCCCTCCCTCGCGCCTGTCGGGCCGCGCGGGCAGCGCTGCGGGCGCCCGCGGGCGGTGGCGCGCGAGGACCCCTGGGTGGCGCCATTTTGGAGTGGCGGCGGCGGCGGCGGCTCCGTGGCCGGTGCCTCGCCCGGTGCCTCGCCCGGCGCTTCGCCCGGCTGCCCTCCCGTCCCTCCCGCTCCGCCGGCAGCATGAGCGTGGTGGAGCACGTGCGCGAGATGGCGGCCGCCGGGCTGCACTCGAACGTGCGGCTGCTCAGCGGGCTGCTCCTCACCATGAGCGGCAACAACCCGTGAGTGCCCCGCCGGCAGGGGGCGCTGAGGGGGCGGGGGGGGGGAGCGGGGGCGATTTGGGGGGTCCCGATCCTGTCCCTGTCCTGTCCCTCCATCCTGTCCTGCCCCTGCACCCTGTCCCTGTCGGGGATGCAGCCCGGCTCTGTTCGGGTACCAGCATCAGCGTCCCTTTGGGGTGTCCTGGCAGAGAATCGCAAAACGGTTTGGGTTGGAAGGGACCTTGAGGATCACCTCGTTCCAACCCCCTGCCATGGGCAGGGACACCTTCCACTATCCCAGGTTGCTCCAAGCCCCGTCCAGCCTGGTCTTGGACACTTCCAGGGATGTGGCAACCACAACTTCTCTGGGCAACCTGTGCCAGGGCCTCCCCACCCTCACAGGGAAGAATTTTTTCCTATAGATCCCCTTTGTTTCTCAGCTGTCATTTTACTTTTTAGTTCTTTTCTGAGCATTGTTTGAAGTCCAAATCCCATTCCAAAACCTAAGCTCCTCCAAAACCTCTGCAAACCTACTGGGAGTGTTATAAAGGGGGTTTCTAAAATGTGGGAACACAGATTAGGACCAGGATAGTTGTACAAGGAGCTGTGTTGCCTTTTGAACTTGAGTCCATTCAAACAAAACTCTAGAATTTGAACGGGCACAAATGCTGGATAATAAAAAGGTCAGAAAAATAATAATACTAATAAATAATCAAAGGTGAGTAAATCCTGAAAGAAAGTTGACCCAGTGTAATGGTCACTGACAGCCTGTGGTTTGTTGTGGGAAGGATGGGGTCAGTGGCCAAGCAGCCAAACACTGAGCTGTTGTTGCTGATGAGGTGTCAGGAGTGGCTGTCACCTCTGTTTGTTCACAGATAAAAGAAATTGGTGAGATAATCCCTGTGTTTGGTGTCAGTACCTGTTCCTCAAGGGTCCTTCCAGGGTGGTAAAGAAGCAGCCACAGTTGGAAGTTGAAGCCACACCAAACCAAAGCTGCAAATACTTTGGATCTGTGAGGTTTTGGTTCTTAAGCAGCCAGCTGATGGTGGCCTTTCTGTTTGCATGTCTTTAGGGAACTGTTTTCACCATCTCAGAAGTACCAGCTCCTTGTTTATCATGCAGACTCTCTGTTCCATGACAAGGAATATAGGAATGCTGTCAGTAAGTACACCATGGCCTTGCAGCAGAAAAAAGCCTTAAGTAAAACTTCCAAAGTGAGACCTTCCACTGGGAATGCTACATCAACACCCCAAAGCCAGGTATTTGAAACTGATAATGTGCTGTGTGACGTGATCATGTTCCCCCTAGCAGTTAATGTTGCTGATTCAATATTCACGGAATTACCGAGGTTGGAAAAGATCCTTGAGTCCAGTCCAACCCTTATCCCAGCACTGCCGAGGTCACCCCTAAACCATGTCCCTGAGCACCACCTTTACATGTCTTTTAAATACCTCAGATGGTGGATTTACCTTGTCAAATAAACCTGACACTTAAGGCTAATTAATTTAAAACTTCAAATGTTTTGTTTTCTAGCGGAAGACTTAAAATACTCTTGAACATGAAATTTTTCTCTGTGTGTGGCTCATGCTTTTCATTTGAAGACAGGAACAATATGAACAAGCAGGAAGCTGCATTGTTGACTTACTTGCACTAGATGTTTATTAACATAGTATAAATATTTAATTAGGAAACCTCGTTAATTTTTTTACCTGGCTAAACCAACGTTGTATTAAATCTTCCTTTTTTGTTTCAGTGTTTGCCATCAGAAATTGAAGTGAAATACAAAATGGCTGAATGTTACACGATGCTGAAGCAAGATAAAGATGCCATTGCCATTCTTGATGGGATTCCTTCCAGACAGAGGACCCCAAAGGTTAGTTCTGGCAGGATTTTGTCACAGGTGCTTGGTCAGTGTCTGGTCAAAAAAGAATACAGCCTGTAGGTATAATGCTATTATGTCTTGGTATTTGCTTTTGTTGTGTGGTCACATTTCCTAATTTTAAATTAGCTTATTATTCACTTCTGTAAAATCAGGCCAGTTTTATATTCTCTCTGTTAGAAAGAATTCATAAAAGGGAAGGGAGGTAAATGATTTGTGCATCTTTATTAACTTATTGCATAGTTGTAAGATCCTTGGAAGGCTGGAGACTTTGGCAAGTAGGGGGTTTGCTAGTACTCCATCTTTTAAAATCTTTTAATCCTTTTAAAGCACAGTTTAGATAATGTTAAATATTTAGATCCCACTGTGGTCTGCAGTGCCAAATCTGTGGAGTCTTTGCTCGCTGGCTCCATTAGTCATGAGGGCTTAAAAGATTAACACATCAGGTCAGTCAACTGTGTTTCATGTTAAATTGTCCTAAAAGTGTACATGGCTCAGACTCCAGCCAGTGTCAGAGTGTCCTGTTCAAAGGCCAATTTACAGAACAGAGAAAGAAGAAGAGATTGAGAAAAGCAAACTTTTCGCCTGCACGCACCAGTAAATGAAAGTGTTGTGGCAGAAAGCAGCTCCTGGTGTTGAGCAGAGCTCAGATAATTTCTGCTCTTTAATCAGTCGTGGCTTCATTCAGAAGCTGAATCCTGTACTGTGTGGTACGGTACAGCGTTCTCAGAAGAGTGAGTGATTCTCTTCTGGCCAGAACAGAAGGCAGGCAGACTTGAGGACAGGGTTCTGACCTTTCTTAGCTATTCTTGCTCCTTTCTCACGCCTGACTCTCTGTTGTTTGCAGATCAATATGATGTTGGCCAATCTCTACAAGAAGGCAGGTCAGGAGCGCTCCTCTGTGACAAGCTACAAAGAAGTGCTGAGGCAGTGCCCTCTGGCACTGGATGCCATCCTGGGTGGGTGTCTGCAGTGCTACAACTTGAATTATGCTTGGGACTGTCATTGAATTTTGTCTTGCATTTGCATGTGGTATATAATGCCTGCGTTATGCAAATGTTAACAAGCTGCACGTTTGTGCTTGTCAAGGGATGGAGCTTCTGGTCCTCAGGCAATTAATTTGTGTCAAAAGCAGGTTTTGGTGGCTCAGATTGATGTGTGTACTGTCCTGAACAGGCTTGCTCTCACTGTCAGTGAAAGGAGCAGAAGTGGCCTCCATGACCATCAACATCATCCAGAGCATTCCCAACTTGGACTGGCTTTCTGTGTGGATCAAGGCATACGCCTTTGTGCATACTGGAGACAACACAAGAGCAATAAACACCATTTGGTAAGGGAGGAAAGAGCACCAGGCCATGAAATAATGCTTTAATCATATATAATGCTACTGACAGTGACATTTATAAATGATGGGCATTTGTCTCTCTTGAAGCTCTTTGGAGAAGAAGTCCTTGCTGAGGGATAACGTGGACTTGCTGGGGAGCTTAGCAGACCTGTACTTCAGAGCTGGAGATAACAAAAACTCCATCCTAAAATTTGAACAAGCACAGATGCTGGATCCTTACCTCATAAAAGGTGAGCAAATCCTAAAGGAAGGTTGAGCTGATGAGTAACAGCCACGTGCAGTGGAATATTGTCTATTGTTTTACCAGTTCAGAACTGACATTCAGAACCTGCGTGTCTTGAACCATTACTGGTAGTTGCCCAGTTTAAAGTAGCCGTTTGTGGCTTTGCTTCTGGTGGGTTTGTTGCTTGTTGTGAATGAGCCTTCCATTTCTTGAGGGTTGATTTCCAGCCGTGTCTCTGTAGGGATGGATGTGTATGGTTATTTATTGGCACGTGAAGGGCGGCTCGAGGATGTGGAGAACTTGGGCTGCCGCCTCTTCAATATTTCTGACCAGCATGCGGAACCCTGGGTGGTGTCTGGGTAAGTTGGTTCCTTTCCTTTCTTAACCTTACCCATAAATAGCTATTTTGGTTCTTCTCTGCATCTTTAAACCTATTGGAGTTACCACTTTAGTGCAATAGCAGGGATGTGTTGAATAGCTGTGACAGTTCAATATTCACAGCTTTGTTTTTAAACTCCTGAAGAGTGTGTTTTTCTGAGCATCCACTCAACTTCAGATGAAAAAAATTCAACAGTTACTTGTAGTTTCTTTGGTTTTTTTTCCTTTGTGTTTTTTTTTTTTACTTTTTGACTTTTCTCCTTTCCCCCCTTTTCTCCTTTCCCCCTTTTCCTTCTCTCCCTCTTTTCCTTCTCTCCCCCTTTTCCTTCTCTCCCTCCTTTTCCTTCTCTCCCCTTTTCCTTCTCTCCCTCCTTTTCCTTCTCTCCCTCCTTTTCCTTCTCTCCCTCCTTTTCCTTCTCTCCCTCCTTTTCCTTCTCTCCCTCCTTTTCCTTCTCTCCCTCCTTTTCCTTCTCTCCCTCCTTTTCCTTCTCTCCCTCCTTTTCCTTCTCTCCCTCCTTTTCCTCCTTTCCCTCCATCCCTACATTCCCCCCTCTCCCCTCCACGCCTGCTCTCAGGCATCGCAGGCCGTTCACACTCACACTGCCTCTCATCTCTCTGTAGGTGTCACAGTTTCTACAGCAAACGCTACTCCCGTGCCTTGTACCTGGGAGCCAAAGCCATCCAGCTGAACAGCAACAGCGTCCAGGCGCTGCTCCTGAAAGGAGCGGCCCTGCGGAACATGGGCCGGGTGCAGGAGGCCATCATCCACTTCCGAGAGGCCATCCGGCTGGCGCCCTGCCGGCTCGACTGCTACGAGGGTCAGTGCCGGGCTGGGGGGGAGGGCAGGGGAGCAGCCACGAGGTCTGTCCTCCTCCTGGCTTTCTAGTCCATCAGCTGTTCTTACCCCAGCATCTGTAGGAGCGCTCAGATGAGAGACACTGGAGGATGTCTGGAACATCTAGAGAGTATCTTCTCTAAAGATGCCAGACTCATCCATGTAACAGGGATGTTACAGTCAGGGGATTTACCAGGTCTGTGAGAGATACTAGAGAATGTTTGGGCTTGCAAGAATGATTTTCACCGAGGGGTTTTCATGTTGTTTTTTACTGTTTTGTTTTGTTTAAACTGGATATAAACAGACTTGGGTGTTTTGGGTCATGACGTGAACTGCATGGTTAGTTCTGCTGGGAGCTTTGTTTTCTTCTATTTATTTAAATAGTTAAATATTTAAATCTTGTTGATCTCAGCTTCAGTGAGTTGTGAAGAGTGCAGGTGAATATCTCAGTATTGGAACCGGACAGAAATGTTAGATTAGAGGTACTTTAGAGTTTGGAGTTTTTTTCAGTCCCTGCTCACAAATAAAAAGTGGTGAAATCAGTTATCTGTGGAATGGGTACGTTAACATGTACAGAGTCCCTTTCTCACTTGCAGCTGTATTTCTTTACTGGAGTGCCAGCTGGGCAAGTAACTGAGGAGGTGAGTGCAGAGCTGGCTCAGAACCTGAAATGTTTCCACGTGGTGTCACCAGGTCTCATCGAGTGCTACCTGGCATCCAACAGCATCCGTGAAGCCATGGTGATGGCAAACAACGTGTACAAAACCCTGGGAGCAAATGCACAGACACTCACCCTGCTGGCAACCGTCTGCCTGGAGGACCCTGTCACCCAGGAGAAAGCAAAAACCTTGCTGGACAAAGCACTAACACAAAGACCTGATTACATTAAAGCTGTGGTAAAGAAAGCAGAACTTCTTAGTAAGTGCCTTTTTTTCCCCGTGTTGGTTTGTTTAGAGATAACTCTTGTACGTGGAAGGGTGTTCTTCAGACTCATCCATGTGAAGGATGGAGCAGTGATGTTACAGCCCAGGGATTTGTCAGTTCTATCCTGAAGGGAAAATCACAGGGATTCATTGCATCCAGCAAGTGATACTGCATCACACCAGCACTTAAAACATTTGCAAACAGAATGTTTGGACTTCAAAGCAGGTGTAATTGTGAGTGTAGCAGGTACTGCGACAAAGGGCCATTGTTTAGAGTTAATCTTGCGAGAAGTAGATCACTGCTGCCCTCCTTGCTGACAGCACTGAAGGGACAAACAGTCTGGTGGTGTGATGGCTCTGTGAACACTCTGACTTCATAGACTTATCTCAGCTATTAATTAAAACTGTAGTTTTGCCTGTGAACAGGTAGAGAGCAGAAGTATGAAGATGGGATTGCTTTGCTGAGGAATGCTCTGGCCAATCAGAGTGACTGTGTGCTGCACCGGATCCTGGGGGACTTCCTGGTGGCTGTCAATGAGTACCAGGAGGCGATGGACCAGTACAGCATAGCCCTGAGGTAAAGCACCCCCTGAGACTGCAGGAGATTTCTAGGAACCAAAGATCAGCTTGACTAAGTAAAGAGTTGAGCCACTGATTGATTAGAATGAGAATCGGAGGTGGCTTTGCATCGCTCTGCCTTAAAACAAACAAAAACGTACAAATTACATCCTCTTAATTAATTAGTTGGTCTTAAGGCTTTGATCTGAGACGTGCACAATGTAGGGACTGCATTAATGCCAGACGTGTCACTAGGCTTGTGATTCCTTAACTAATAAAAGGTTTAAGGCATTAAATTATTTATAGTTATTAATTAGTAATCAGGCACCTTAAAATCCATTCCTTTAGACCAGAAGGTGCTATATAAAAATGAGCTATTCAGTAAATTTAAATAGTGTGATTCAACTTAACATAATCTAAATGTTATTTTAGGATGTTACCATGCTAAATATTCCCATGTTGTGATTCCAACAACTCCAGTGTGCCTTAAATCCAGCACATCATGTCCACTGTACACTTGTATAGCTCAAATGGGTCAGCTGGTTTTTGCTTGCATAGAATATATTTAGTCAGAGTCATTTAAATTTTTACTGCTTTGCTGCCACTTTATAATTAGTATTGTTGGAAGGGGTGACTAAGTTTTCTGGAAGAGTGGGATATTTAGATAAGTGCATTCTTGGGGATCAAAACTGTTTTTTATGGAGATTTAATACTCAGTGGTACAGTCACCCTTAGAGGAAGTTGCATCAGCTACTAAAATAAGCTGCTTGATGAAGTTAAACAGGAAGTGCAGACAGCAAGATGAGAGTTTGTTACTCTTCTTTACACTAAGGCCACAAATAAAGGGAAAAAAAGTTTCAGGACAGTGCTTTCTTTTTCTTCCTTCCTTCAGTTTGGATCCCAACGATCAGAAGTCACTGGAAGGATTGCAGAAAATGGAAAAAGAGGAAAGCCCAACAGATGCCACCCAGGAAGAAGATGTGGATGACATGGAGGGAAGTGGAGAAGAAGGGGACTTGGAAGGCAGTGACAGCGAAGCAGCTCAGTGGGCAGATCAAGAACAGTGGTTTGGGATGCAATAAAAGTCTCACCTGCTGCTTGTTCTGGCACTGGAACACACCACTAGGGCCATTCTTCTTAGAAGAACAGAAACTATGATTTTTTTGTGGTATCAAAGGACCTTTTTTTGTTTGTTTGTTTTTTTTAATAGACTCTGAAACCATTTAATACTCCTGTACATCTCAGTACCATGAAGATTCCTGATGCTTCTTATTTATTAAGTATAAGGGACTAACTGCATCCACAGTTATATCTGCAACTTTCATTATGAAAAATTCCTGCTAAAACTGAAACCATCAGAATCTGAGGTGTGTAATGAACCTGTTGGGATGCAAACAATGTCTGAATTCTGTCCAGGGCTAAGTGTGCTTGGAGCTGTAAATACAGGGGTTTGTACCCCTTGCTGAGAAGGCTCTTACTCTCATCGTGTGCTCCTGTTTGGGCTCGTGCTCCTGTTGAAGTCTGGGGTGGTTGCTTGGATGTGACTGAAAGCAGCACTTTTCTCTTGCTGTGTTTGTTGAATTAATTTGTCTTTTTCCAGGGCATTACCTGTGCTGTCCAGGAGAAGTTTGGGACAACAGGCAACTTGGACTTACAGGATGTTTTTTGTAGCTGACTGATTTCTCTGTGTACAGAGCTGAGCCAATGGTGGAGAATTAAAGTCATTTTCTCAGCCCTTACCAAACCCTGTAATCACTTAAAAGTCTGTACATGAGCATTTATTTTAAAATGAAGTTTAGTTTTATTTCAGGATGTTCCTAAAAGCTCTTACAGCAGTGACTCAAAGCACTTCACATTCTGTATACAGCACTGACATTTAAAATGGTATAAAAGGAATCCATCCCCTCTTGCCTTGCATTGCTGGAGAAATGTTAAATTATGCAAATAGCCATATTGGCCTGGGTTTTCCATGTTTATGTACTTCCTGGTTCTGTCAGGTAATACTTGAATTCGTGTGTTTTCCCCTCACCTTTGGAAGCAAAGTCGCTTCATGTACAAATCCTCAGCATTTCAAGGGTGAGGCTGCTTTGGGTAATCTAGAAACTGTTGCAGTTCTGTGGGCTTGATGTGTGGGAGGAGGAATTACTTATTTTTCTTACTGTTCTGATTGCCTTAGTCTTTACCAAAACATGGGGTTTTTTATCTTTATATTGGCAATTTAATTCCTTTTGTATTTATTCTGTTGCCACAGGTATGCTGGAGCACACAGACTCTTTTTAGAAGGCTAAAAAATAGTTTTGAGTATCAGTTGGAGGAAAAATGGCTCTGTGATACAAATACATGAGATGGAAAAGAAGCTTCTCCCTGTAAGGCAGATCAGGGTAAAATATCATCCCTCTGTGATATTGCATCAAAAATGCAAACAGAAAGAATAGGCAGATTATGGGGCTGTTTTGGAAATGTTTTGGTATGTCACATCTAACAAAGGAGGAGTCTAATAGTATATCCATCTGAAAAAAGAAAACAGCTGGGTGCCTGTTCTCTCTGGAATTTTGTGGGCTCTAAACTTTCCAAAATATCAGACTCAGTTGTGGTTGGTTGAAGGTGGTTTGGGAAGAACAGCAAAGCTGTCCTGGGGGGTGGATGGGCACGAGCTGCTCCTGCTCTTCCACGGAGCAAATCCACCACATTTCAGGGAGAGCAAACGTTTTGTTAATGGCTTTTTGGTGGATGAGAGGCCTGGTCCTGTTCTTCCCTTGGACCAGTCCTGTGGGTTGCAGTGAATAGATTTCAGCTCATCACATGTCTCGTGGCAGAGATAATTCATGTACAAGCAAATTCAAAGCATCTTTTTAAATAAAAAAAAAAAAGAAAGCTTTGTTTTCGCCTCTCAAGTCAACATTCATCTGATTCATCTGCAGCTTTCTAGTGTTGCAGACCTCTGCTGTGGATGCAAATGGAGTTGTTTGTGGGTTGTTTTTAGGTAAATCTGGTAGTCTGTGCTCTTAGAACAGGCAGGAAACTAAAACTACGTCAAGATGAGTGTGTTTGGGTGCAGCTTTAACAAGTCCAGGCACACCTTAGATAGGACACCTTGAGATGGCTGTTCAAAACAGAGTTGGATCCTTGCTGCCTTGGTTTTCTGAGAACTTGGCTCCTGACTGAAAATTAAACATCAGATCCTGCAGATAAAACCTGGGTGAGTATCTGATGTGTTGGGCTCACGTAGCTGGTGTGTGATCTTTGCTAAGAGTTGTTCAGTAAGGGTCTGAGGAACTTCAAGGTGCATTTGAGATGATACAGATATATTTAGCACTCACTTCAGAATTCCAGAGGGGTTCTTGCCTATTAATGAGCCTTCATTAGCACTCTAATTTTAGAAGGTGATCTCTGGTTTTGCAGAGATCTCGTACTCTCTGGTGCAGTTCTAGTTCAGGGAATAGGACAATTAGCCCTTAATGAGCAGCTGACCTCATTCCCTCCCTCAGTCACGTGCTGTGCACCTTGGAAGAAAAGATCACAAAGCCAAAAACTGAAGTTCAGGCTTTGTCAAATCAGGGATGGAAGTGAAAAAAATACCAGTTTGTGAGGTAAAAAAGCTGTTGCTGTCCGGTTCTGACTGTAGAGTGTTGGCATGCCTGAGATGCCAGTCTGGAGCTGGGTAAGGACAGAGTGCCCAAGTTTCCTTGGAATCATTGAATTTAAGTGACAAATATAATTTAAGTTTTAATTCTTTCCTGTTTTGTGATAGGAAAGAGGAGAAGTGATGGAAAGGGACCAACTTCCTTCAAACCATACACTGACCGGGGTAAGGGCTAAAGGGCTGAGCTTAGCAGAGCCCAAAAGGAGCACAAATTCAGGATGTGGCTGGAAATTGCCTAAATAATGCATTTACTCACACTTTATCCTGCCATGTGCTGATAACACCTGAAATTCCAGCAGTATTTCTAGTTAAAAATTCCAGATCTTGGAACATCTCCCAGCTGGACTCCCGGGCTGGGGGAGTTCAGGGATTGGCAGAAATGAGCTCCTTTAGCAGTTGATCCAAGAGCTTGGGTTGATCTGGCAGCATAAAAGGGCCTTTTCCAGCGTGTGCTTTGCTGGAAAAGGCTGTTACGATGCCAGTTCTTTCCCTGCACTATTTAACTGTCGAAAAATGCTTCCAATTGTTTTATTCCTGCTTTATTTCCTTGCACTGAGTGTGTGCTATGCTTGATGTGCAGTACGGTGTGAGGGGTTGAAGCTGCTGACTTGGCTTCATCCTCTTGGAATATGAAATAGTTTTCCAGGAAACTGAAGTGTGATGACATCAGCAGGACAGCAACAGCAGTCTGTGGCTACACAACTTCCATGGGCTGCTCTGTGGAAGCTGCTGGCCATGTGGTTCCTGGGATAAGTGTGTGTCTGTTGGGAAGCCAGTAAAGCTGGGATCTGGGACTGAGAGGAGCTGCTTGATGGGTGCAGAGGGGACAGTGTAGGAGTGGGAAGGTGATGTAACCTCAGTTTCTGCTTGCCCTGCTGAGGTCCATAGTGAAAGTGAGATGGGAGATTTGTGTGGATTGACTGTCAGTCTGGAATGTTGGTGTCTGTGACGAACACGGGGAGAGTTTGGCATTACTCTGAAAAAAGCAGTAATTCTTGTTTTAGCCCAAATTCTCTCTGGCCAGGGCAGCCCCTGGATTCTGGCTGTGCCAAGAGGAGGGACAGGGGGTGGAGACAGGCTGTCACCTTTCCTCAGCTCCCCAGGAGAGCTTTTAATAGGTGAGGAAGCAGGAGGTGGCTCCCGCTGACCTTTGGGTGTCGGTTCTGCAGAGGATAATGTCACACTGAAACTCAGCCAATTTGATAAAGCTGGAGGTCAAGTGTTTGCTCTCCTGGTGGGAATATTGGGCTCTGACAAGTTTTAAGGACCCTCCACCCAGCTCACTGGAAATATCTGAGGTTCTGGGAGAGAGATTTAACCCTTCCTGTGCTGTGCTTTGATTTCTGCTTTTGCTGCTGCTGCTGCTCTTGCCTGACAAGGGGGATGAGGAAACAGGTGGGTTTGATCTCCTTTTGTGCTGGGATTTACCATCCCTGCAGTAAATTCAGAGGCTTCACAGGGTGGCAGGAAGAACATCCATCATCTGGCCTTACAGAGGTGCAGAGATGTTTACAGCTTGGGTTCTGTGGTAGGACACCAAGGTGCTGTGGGGTGAGGGGAGCTGTAAGGCCCAGTCCTAACCCCAGTCCAGTCCCAGTGCCAGCCCAGTGGGCAGAGCCTTTCCACAGGGTAAAAGAGGAGCCGAGAGGCTTGATGGGATGCTGCCAGCAGGGCTTCTACCCAGCTGGAAACATCTTGGAGAAGACTTCAAAGACTTGAAACTGCCATGCAGCTGGTGAGGGAGCTCTTAATCCCATTAGGATTAGGGATCAGAGTGTCAGCAGCTCTGTCTTGGGAAAGGTTGGATGCTGTTAGTCTTTCAGACTGCCCAGCAGGCCGCTCCAGGAGCAGGAAGGTTATCATCCCTGTAGGCTCAGTTCTAAGGGAATTATTCTCATAGGTTCAGTTCCCACTGTCTCTAAGGAAAGCGCAGGGCTCGCCCTGATCAGGTAAATCCCTGGACCCTGCTAAACTGATATCTGCAGTCTTCTCTGCACTCCCACGTGGGTAAACTCTTGGGATGTAATATTTCAGAAGACCTCTTCAGGTGCTCAGAGCTCTGCAGGCTGAGCAGAGGGGGCTTGCTGGTCTGTTTTTTACAGTCCCAGGATTTTCCTGTGGCTTTTTCCTAGCTCAGTGGGGAAGAAAATTCGCCACCTCCTCTCCCTGAGGCTTCTCTCGTTTCTCGCCCACCCTGCCGGGGGTGGATGTGGGCTCTAATCACACACAAATTCACCTCGAGGTAAAAATGGGGTTATTTCCTGCCCTCTGTATTTAGAGTTTGATGTAATGTGCCCATAATGCCTCATAAGTGATCTATGGGGAGCTGCTTCCTTTCTCTGCTGTCAGTGGCTCATCCATGTGATGCTTTAGAGCCGGGGGTTGCAGGGAGAGGAGGAGGAGGAGGAGGAGGAGGGGGAAGATGAAGCTGTTGATTTCAGCATCTCTTACCACACACTCTTGCACTGAGTACCTTGGCAACCCACTGAGCATCACGTTCTGCTCACATGGCTGTACTCCAGAGTGCTGCCTCAGGGTCACTTGGGGGACTCGCTCTGCCTTCAGCTTGCACATCATCATTTAAGGAACCATTTGAAGATCAGGTGTGAGTTGGTGTCAGTTTGCTCAGAGAGGCGCTGTCTGAGCGCAGAGGTGCTGGAATGCGCCTCGCTGTGACAGCAGCTCGAGCTGCTCGCTGAATAATGACTTTGTATCTCCCTGAGCTTTACCTCCGTGCTGGGGACAGGAATTTCCACAGGCTGAGAAAAGGGGCAGGAGATGGGCCAGGCAGGAGCACGTTGGTACGTTTGATGGTGGGATCTGAGCAACACTTCAGCTGTGAGTCACCCTCCTTGTCCCTTTGGCTGCCTCCTGAATTACACCAGGCTGAGGCTGTGACAAGAGGTGTCACTGGGGCAGTTTGTTGTGATCCCTCAGCCCAGGTGTCCCTGGGAAGTGCAGAGGGGAGCTCTGTGCTGCCCCAGAGGGGAGGGCTGTGCTTCCAGAGCTCTGGGTTTGTGCTGAGGCTCCAAATGGAGCCACAGCGGGAGGTAAGGAGTGTGGAACTGGGCACTGACAGCCCCAGACCCGGGCTGAGAGCAGAGCTCAGCCTGCCCACACAACACTACCATAGTAGGAAGCAGCCACAGCAGCTCAGCCCGATGCCTTAACACACCCTCCACCATCCCAGAGTTCTGCTGGGCAATGGAATTCCACCTCTGTATTTTTAAACCTCTCACTGTGGCGTTTGAAGGGTCTCGGACGTGTCACCTCGTTGGGATAAGGCCGTTTGCCAGCACGGTGCTGCTCTCGGGGCGCTGAGGGGCATTACACCTCATTTAAAACACATTCCTCAAGTTGCCTCTTATTCCAAACAAAAACCTTGGAGCAGAGCATCGCAGGGCACTTGGAAAAGCCAGCTTTTCCCCTTGAGGTGCTTTGGCCTTGTCCTAACTCCTGCACTGTGAGCTCCCCTGGTGTGGGGAAGGGAGTGAGCCCAAAGTGCCAAGCACTCCCAGCAGGATGCTCGTGGTGTGGTTTGGAGCAGGAGCTACTTCAGGCTGAGGGAGGCATAAAAAGGACCAAAAAAATTAAAATAAAATAAAAGATGTAGTTGGGAAAGAATTGTTTATTTTACGTTTCTCAGAGGGATTTTACAAACAATGGAGCATTTTAAAAAAACTTGAGTGATCAAAGTACTTGACAGTGTCCCTTAAACACACACACAAGCCCCTGGACAGAGGAAATCACACCAGCGAGGAGGTCAATACTGCCGAGGAGCAGCTGCATCTGCATAGTTCTAGGAGGGAAGATTGTGGTGGTGCTAAAAAGTGGCATCCTGGCATTTAAAATAAGAGCACGGACCTGCAGGAAACAAAGTGCATCAAATACCACGCCGAGTACGTATTGGAGAATAAATTTATTTACCTGATACAAATGAAACTAAGGTGTGATGCTCCTTTTACTGTCAGCATGTCAATAGACAATTGATCTTATTTACAACTTCTAAAGGTCACACATGCAGCTGTGGGAACTGGCTACGTTGTCGTCGCTTTTTTAGATAAATGCATCACGATATTTTGTATTGCACCAACATCTGTCTTACTGCCTTAGATTTAAATAAGTTACATTACAGTGCAAAAGAGGTTGATTTGCACAGATGATAAAAAAAAAAAATCCAAAGTTATGAAGTGGAGGCTTACGGTTTAACATTCATCTGTAATCGTTTCCATGGATTTATAAATAGGAGAGCATTGTACAGAAGCTGTTGGAGTCGGATGTTTGGATGATACAATACAGAGAGATCCATCTACAACCCAAGGCATGCATTATCTGATATTGTACATTGTATATAAACCGACATTTTACATACAGGAAATACGGGAGGTTGGCTGACAGCTCCGTGATTCTCGTTCAAGGAAAACCCAACTCTTCTCCATGCAGCACAGAACCCAACCTTCTCTGGAGAGAGTTCCGCCTCGAGAAAATCTATATTGCACGTTTGTACATCTGTATCATGGAGTCCTAATGGTACCACACATTTCTTCCACAGAGAACACAATGAGGTTTTTGTTTTTAAGGGAAAGCAAAGAATCTTTACACGATACATGCAGAAGTTTTGGTAGATGTGTTGCTAAAAACACATGCACGCAACAAAACAACCTTACATTTCTGCAAAATTGTTTAGGAAGCGATTACTCCAGTATTGCTGAAAAGGAAAGAAAGAAAAGGCATCAGTTAATGAAAGGATGAATGCTCAGTTATCATTATACAAGCAAGACTAAGATCAACAGTGACAGAAGAAAGAATGTTAAGTTTGGTAACTGGCTGCTCTGTCGTTGAAGGGACACTCTCAGGTTACTTTGTCCTTAAAGCCCAGACCCTCTGGATTGAAGCTCAGCTCCTCTGAGCAGAGCTCCCTTGATCACCAGCAGAGCCAGCACTTCCTACCAAGGGCTGCAGTGACAAATAATTAAGACATTTAATTTGGCCTTTCTCTGCCTGATCAGTGGCACCAGACAAGTCTCGCTGAGCTGGAATTTTGACTTTCAAGTTTCACCCTACGCAGGTGGAGCCGAAGATTTTAAGGGTGTTTTTCTAATCGAGGCATTATTCCAAGTTTGGTCCCCAAAGTGACCTAACAATGTCCCTTTTCCAGGCAGCTTGTTCTGGGAAGCAGTAGGAAAGCTTTGAAGAAGTCATCACACTACACAGATTAACGTGTAGGCCGAGGGGAGAGTACAAGGCCCTGCAGCTCCCGCTGTCCTTCGTCCCCACACCACAGAGTGAGGTCAGCCCCGTGTCTGGGAGAGCCTGGGGTGCTCTGGGGCCCTACAACTCCAGGGAAGCTCTTCCCAACACTGCTTCAACACTGTAAAATTTGGGCTCTCCTGCTAAGATTTGAAAATGCATATTAATGCAATTAAGGATGTAATTAGCAGAGATTAGGGAAACAGTTAATGGTTAGAAGTGCAAAAAAGTAAAACAAGACAGGTGCAAGAGACAGACGACTCTGTATCGGTTTTACCTCCCTTCATCTCAGCAAATTGAACCCTCTTTAGGCTGTTTACCAGGAACTGTGGGCAGGAGCTGTGTTCTCTGAACAGAACTGCTGTACTGCATTCTATCAGCAGATTAAAATCTCATTTTCGTACCATTAACCTCCCAGCCAGCCTCCCTGCAAACACGAGCCCTGGGGCACTTGGACAGACTGGTGTATGTTTTTCTGCAGCCTCTTTCATCCTCATTTATTTGCAGCAACGTTTTGGGAAACCAAGTATGAACTATTTTTATTGCTTGGATGGCAGCAAGAAGGAGCAGCTCGTTGTGTAGCTCATGGACAGCACTTTGGATCATTCGTTACGTGAAAGCAGAGGGAGCCCAAGGCACTGCAGAGACAAAAGCTCCTGTCTAAATATCCAATGTTGGGCTGCAGCTGCCTGAGCATCCTCCTTGCTACAGAACCCTGGATTCAGGAGGAGCTGCTCTCATTCCAAACCCCACTGGGTTCCCAGCACAAGCCAATATCCTTCCTGGTGTTCCCAGCATAAGGCAGCATCAATCACACGATTGATCCTGGTCTTACACATCCCTCTCACACTAGAAAATAAGCAGCGACGTGTGAGGGCACCAAGGAATCCAGAAAACAGCAGAGATGACAAAGCTTGGTGAGATGAGAGCAAAGAGAAACAAAAAAATATGAAGTTATTTTCTAGGAATGGAGTGGGAGATCAAGCCTGGGGAACTCGGAGCTATTTCTGCTTGAGGAAGTGCTGCTGTTTGTGTGATCTCAAGAACACAGGAAAATAGGAACAGGAAAATGGGAGTTACCTATTGCTACCCCCAGCTGCCCTATTTCAACCTGGGGAGGCTGAAGAGGAAATATTTGGGACCAAAGAAATTAAATGAGAATTTCAACTTCAAGATGTTGGCAAGTCAGCCTGTTCTGAAAGGTCCTCCCTTCCTGGCTTCTCCAGATGAAAAGGCTGAGGCCGAAGGATGACAGGATCTATACAACTAAGGTAAACATTTGAGTTAACACATTTCCTGCAGGGATTCCAAACCTTGCACTGCAGTTCTGTCCTTTCTGGAACAGAAGAGCCATCAGAAGAGCTGCCTTTTCCTCTCCTACTGCAACTCCCACTGCCTGCTCAGCTCGCAGGGTGGAGCCCAGACCCACAGCACTCCCTCCAGGATCACAGGGTTGTGATTCCAGGGCAGGATGAGCTGCCCAGGAGGAAGGATTTACAAGACCTGGAAGGATTTACAACACTTGGAAAACAGAAGTCCTAAAGCACAGCACAGCTGCCACCAGACCTGAGACCTGCACCTGCTGATCCTGGGGAACTCTATTGCTCCATTTCTGCAGGAAAATTTGGACGAGACTGGGAGAAACAAAAGAAGACCAGAGTAGATGAAGATTGCTTGGGCTCTGTAGGAGCACCTGTACAAGCTGACTGTTCTGTAAGCTCAGGAGCCTGTAGGGATGGATCCTTCTCCATTTACCCACCACTCATCCAGCTTTCTAGAACAAACTGGAGGAACACAAGGCCCTATCCCAAGTGCCTCCAAGACATGAGCAAGCTCTCAGATGTCTACGGAAATCCAGGACAAAAGCAGCAAGATTCATTTTCAACACAGGTGTTGAAGACTGAATTCCACCTATCAACAGTCATTTTCCCCTTCATCTTCTTAGAGAAGGAAAAAGGGGATGATTAGTAGGATCACTTGGCATAAAAGACAGGAACAGGATTGTACAAGAAGCAGGATCACTGATGGTGGCTTTAAAAAGGCCACCAGTATGGTGCTCTGGAGGTTCAACAGAACCAGTGCTCAAGGATTCAGTGGCATTCCTGCCCTGGAAAATGTCAATGATGCTGGGAGCACACAGAACTAACTTGCTATCATTTGTTTGCAACAAGTAACATACTGGGACGTATTCTGATCTCAAGGAATCCTGAAATCACATGAACTATTATTTTTCCATTTCAAGAAACAGGGTCAAGCCTCACGCTGCTCATTTGTTATCGATACAGCAAATGGCCAGTGCAGGCCAGTGGTTTTGTGGAATGCAAAACCTTAGTTTGGCTCTTCCACGCTAAAAAAGGGCATTCGAGGGGATTTCAAATGCTCACAGTTCAGCAACACACCTACTACATCATCAGGTCAGCTCCTCTGAGCCACTCCAGCATCGACTCCAGACAAGCCAAAGTCTCTGTAAACAGAGCACTTGCAGTGCAGTGGAATTTCTGATGGAGCCTGAGTGTTCTGAGGGGAGAGTCTAAATCTGAGAGCTTAAACCAAGAGAATGATGTGTGCTCACTGGATTCCAGCTGGCACCAACAGGAACAGCCTGCAACTGTCCTGTCCCTCCAGGAGGGATCTCAAAGCTGCCCGAATTTGGTTCCTCAGACTGAGCCAGCACAAGATAACACAGCACCTGCTGCTCTACAGACAGGGACCCCAGGACAGGTTTCAGAGACTGCCCTGCTAAACTGAGACTGGGGTTTTTTTGCCTTCTCAGGTGGCCACTGCACAAATAACGAGCTGCTTTTGCCAGGAGCAGCACTGCAGGTACCAGGGATGAGGGGAGAGTGGGAGCCCCTTTTCCAGAGCAGGGAAAAGCTTTGGAGTAAACCAGCACCTGACCACGAGTACCAGAGAGTTTTGGACACTAAACATTCACGCTCACAGCTGTCAGGGTCTTAAGTTTGAGATAAAATTAGACAAATCTGTAACTTAAGACCAAAAGCTGTAAAGACCTTGGGGCACAAAGGCTCCTGGGTGCTATAAAACAAGACCCTAAAATACACTAAACCAAAAGCAAGTGCTTTGCCTTTGGAATCGGTAATTTGAGCTTCAGACCACAAAACAAGAGTCTAAAGTGGTGATAATAATGTAGCACAGCAGAGTTTGACAAAACACAGCATGGGAATGAAGGAAATTACTATTTATTCTTCAACATGTATACATCATAATGCTATTTTACAGCAAGTCACCACTGGCAGGGTGAAATGGAAGAGAAATACTCACTTTAGTCGATGAAAGTTGGAAGGCATTGGAGAAAAACACCACAGTTAGGACTGTTAATGACTTACACATTGTTGATACAGGACTGAATTTGAAAACATGCTTTAACATTTACCGTAATAATGAAGGTGGTTAGTGCCACATCAAAATAAAAATAGTTCTATACAATATGTTCAATTTGGTCATGTGCTATTTACAGATTTTACAAAAAACACACACGAGCTTGTTACTTCAAGTCAGGCTTACAACAGGCCAGCAGAGTAACCCCATGGATACAACTGAGCATTAGTGCCCTAAGTGGAGGAAATCTAATTTCTACCTATGCAGTGCAAGTAATTTTTCCAGGTCTCATTGCAAATGTTGATCTTAAAGGGGGGAAACAAAAAAAAAAAAAAAAAGAAAGAGAGAGAAAGAAAAAGAAAGGCTCTGATGTGTAAATAAAGTATTAAACCCTCTTTTGAATTCATAGAGATTGTGTTTGTTAAAAAGGCTTTAAAAGGAGACAGAAGTAGCCCTCCCTGTCCTTGCAAAACGGGCAACACTGGCAAAATAAGGTCTTGTTACAATAAAATACAACAGACAAAATAAATAATCTTAAAAAAAAAACCCCAAACAACCCTATGTGTGTCGAGAGTATGGAAGAACCCCAGCAGGCTGCACCTGGAATGGCATTTTCTGCACGAGCAAGATTAGGCATTACCTCATACAGAAACTGGTGTAAACAAGGCCAGTCAAGAACCAAGAGTGAGGGAAGAGGGGAACCGAGAAGGAATCCTGACCGAGGGAGCAGGACCCTCTACCCAGTGCAGAAAGTTCTGCTCGTGAATCAAACCTGACTTCATGACAAATTAAGTTTGGATGATCATGCAGAAGACAAACAGTTACATGCTTTTTTAGTTTTAGACAACACACATTCATTCCCTAAAATCTGCTGCCAATTTAGTCTGATAGTGTCCGCTGGCTCAAAACAAATTTACTTCTCTTTTTTTTTCTTTTTTTTTACATGATGAATAAGACTATTGAACAGAACACTGTACATGCTTTTCATCTACAAAAAAATATTTGCATAAAATAGTGTTAGTTCTCTGTACATGTCAATGGACACTTTAACTGTGTATAAAAGAGGAATATATTGCCCCCACTGAAGTCAGAAAAAGCAAAAAAAAAACCAAAAAAATCTAGATTATGAAACCTCCATCACCGGCAAATATGTTCATGTGAAAATTCAGCAGAAATAGACAGTTGCTCTAAACAATAAAAAAATTAAGTTAAACTCTTTTTTTTTTTTTTTCTTTTTTTCTCCTTTGAATGTAAAACTCGTCACCGTGTCAGTCAAGACCAGAACATATCACTAAAGTTAGTGTCTGTGCTGTAAAGCCAGATAACCAAGGGCATAGTAATGAACACAAACGGCCAGGAAACTCCTTCGGTGCATGCTGACAGAGCACAGGGTTTGGTGGCAGGCCTCACACTATCTTTACCAGGTTCCAGGTAGTTACGGGCCACATATTTAAGTGTTTCATCCAGCAGAATGACAGGGAGGGAGATTTTCAACACCATCAGCCACTGAGTCACGTTCAACGGCGTGATCTGGAAGATAATCTGAAAGAAAAGCCGAGTGTTATGGAATCCCAGGATGTGCCCAGCTGGAAGGGACCCACAAGGATCAGTGAGTCCAACCCTCAGCCCTGCACAGGCCCATCCCCAAGAGTGACACCCTGTGCCCCAGAGGATCATCCAAACCCTCCTGCAGCTCTGGCAGCCTTGGGGCTGTGCCCACTGCCCTGGGGAGCCTGTTCAGTGCCAACCACCCTCTGGGGGAAGAGCCTTTTTCTAACATCCAACCTGAACATGCCCTGACACAACTCCAGGCCATTCCCTGGGTCCTGTCCCTGGTCCCCACAGAGCAGAGCTCAGGGCCTGCCCCTCCTCTTCCCCTCACGAGGAATTTGTAACTGCAATGAGCTCTCCCCTCAGTCTCCTCCTCTCCAGCTGAACACACCAAATACCCTCACCTGCTCCTCACACAGTCCCTCAAGACCCTTCCCCATCTTCATTGCCCCCTCTGAACACTCCCTAATGCCTTAATATCTTCCTTACATTGTGGTGACCAAAGCTGCCACAATATTCCAGGAGAATCCCTTCTCCCCCTCCAGCCCCACACGGGTTTGTGCTCTATCTCCAAGGTGGATGTGAGGCACGTGCACTTACTGGCAGTGGTTCCACATAAAGGATAAGGAAGTGGAGGGACATGGACAAGCAAATGGCTCCCACCAGCCAGATGTTCTCCCACGGGGGCATCCTCATCAGGGACTGGTTTTCTGACAGGCTGCAAGAGGAACATGGGACACGTGTGTGTAGGTAACACCGACAGGAAGCTCCATGAACCACAACACCATCCAGACAGCACAGCAAGGCACAGGGATCCCAGTCAGGGAGGCAGGGAAGGTCCCAGGAGAGGGTTTATATGCATGTTGCAACTTTAAACTACCCTGAAAGTCAGCTTAGAGAAGCAGTCAGTCAGCCTCACATTTAATCCTGAAAGCTCTTGTATGTTCTGCTCATTCCTGATCTGGTCCATTCTTTTCACAAAATCCTCCCTTGTGGGAAGGATGGACATGGCAGCATGAGACAGAATCCACCTCAGTCCACCCAGTTCTTCTGAAGTTCACTGAAAGACTGACAGAGGGTCAAGTACTGGCACCTTCTTTAATCCTGCTCTTGATTCCACCTGCATTGAGGCAGAAGAGGCTGAGATCCAGAGCACTGGATGTAGAGCAGCACCTTACTATGTAGGACTGCCCCAACACACTTGTATTTTAAGTTTATTTGTTTTTAAATTAACTGACCTCTAAGCTATTTGAAGAAAAATACCCTTGACATTGTGCTATTTAGTGGTTTCCATTTATAATCTAATATTAATTGGCTAAACCCACACTCCCTTAGGGCAGGAAAAACTATTTTCCATATCTTCAGCATTCTTATTTTAGTTCTCCTTGATATCACTTTATACCAACATAGGAGGGGATAATCTGATTGATTAAGCTTAGATTAAAAATAATGGAAAATATTTCAGTTGCTTGTGCTTAGTAAAATACCAGAGTGAATTGGCAGCCTTAAAAATATACCTTATGATAAGAGATCTCAAATGTTATCTCAGAGTCATTTTGTTTGCACTACCAGGGCTGAGAAAGGAAATGTGACTCATTCTTTGTTAGCTGAGCTGTCCACCAAGAATGAAATTGCACAAAAAAAAGCAGGATTTGGGATGAATTAAGCAGAGGCTCTGCCTTCCTGCCCAGACACACGAACCTGTTGAGAGCATTGCACATCTCTATGGTGACGAGCACAGACAGAGCCATTGTCATCGGATATGGGGACTCGAAAACCACGCAGTCCACCCCGAAGAAATCCGGATTGTCCTCTTTGCACTGCAGAAAATGGCTCTGCAACAGAACAATGTGAGCTCACTTCCACAGCTTGTTAACTTGGGAAATTGTAAAATAGGCAATTAGGCAAAATTGTGACTCTCAAACCCAGTGCTTATAAACTTTTGCCCACTTTAGAAAAATCCCATTTAGGCTTTTACTTACAAGACAACAATTAACCCTTCAAATTGTTAGAGGCTCAGGTATCCCACCCCTGAGCTTTACTGTTAAGACTAATTAATCATGATCAAATTTTACACTAACAAGTCTGAAAATGTTCAATTATATAAAACTCCTGCAACCTACCAGTTTTCTACAGTCATTTCAAGCATGAAAGCAGCAGGTACCTCCCCCCTCCCCCCAAAGATATTAAACTGAGCAAATACCAGTTGGTAAAAAGAAACTCTTGGACCACCATCAGCAGCAATAAACCACCAAGCAGCAGCACCCACTGTGGCAGCACCAACGTAGCCTGGAAGAAAACAAAGTGCTTTTCTCAGCACTGTGAACTGTACACAAAACAAGACCTCACTTGCCACACTTGAACTTCTACCTCAAGGCTTCCAGCACTGGGAAAAAAAAAACTGAGTTGTAATTCCTGTCTTAGAGTTTATTTAAGGAAAAAAAAGCCCTTAGTACTCACATCCAATAGCCAGGTAACGGAAGAAGAGCCACCCACTGATCAGGGGCTCTTTGGGGTTGCGGGGGGGCTTGTTCATGATGTCCAGGTCGGGAGGGTTAAAGCCCAGAGCAGTGGCAGGGAGACCATCAGTCACAAGGTTTACCCACAGCAGCTGGACAGGGATCAGAGCTTCAGGAAAACCCAGGGCAGCAGTCAAGAAGATGCTATAAAGAAACCCACCAGTTACAAGCTTATTCATGTAATCAGTCCTTTAAGGTTTAAGCCTAAGCCTGCAGCATCGCTTCTGTTCTCTCCCACAGAGCTCTCCACTTCAGATCACAAGCTGAGTATTCACAATCAGAAAACTAAAACCATGTCCAAGAGCAAACACTTCTAACCACTAAAGCATGTAAGCTTTGAAGCATTGTCTTCTTTTGTTAACTTCAAAAATTGAAGGTTTTGCTTTAGGCTTGTTTTTCTCCGCTTGTCTGTAGAGGTAAATATATATATACACACACATATGGATAAAGGCTTGCAAGCCACTTTCTAAAAGACATTTTAGCTCAAATGACTAAGCTGCATTTCCCTAGATCACTGCTACTCCCTGCAGAAGTTTAATGAGCATGTAGCTTTCATGGCTCCAAGGCTGTGGGAATAAATAGAACAGAAACAGGGGCTGCAGCAAGAGCCATATGAAGGACGGCTTTAAAGTTGACAAGAAACAAAGCAAGACAATTGTTGTGTTTTATTCCACTCTGGGAGAAAGTCTGCTTTGAAGTGAGGGCTGTGAGGAGATCAATATTGACACTCTGCTACCAGAAATGCATTCTGTGGTGCTGGGTCACCACTGCTCCTCACAGAGGAACACGAGACACGTTCCTGGAACCTGAGGTTAAACAAACATCTCAGCTCTGCCTGTGACTAAGTTACCTGAAACTCCAGATCTTGTAATATCTGATTAAGGTTTTTGTTTTCCTGTTCTAGAGAGTTATTCCAATCACAGAAATAATTGCAAAGTATTACCTACTGAGCTACAATATTCTCTGTAACAACACAATGTTCAGCTTCTGTGGCCAGCTACAGTTCTTCACTAAAGACGCCCACAATGATCGATTACCTGGAGAACCTGTTCCTCTGGTTTTCCTGAGAAATACTGAAGTAAATAACCAACAGAAGTCTCCACCATCACCACTCTAGTTCAAAGAAAACAGATTTAAACTTACCAAACAACCTCCCCAACGTTGGAGGAGATCAGGTACCGGATGAACTGTTTCATGTTGTTATAAATGGCACGTCCTTCTTCCACAGCAGCGACGATCGTGGAGAAATTGTCATCTGCTAAAACCATTTCAGAGGCAGTTTTAGCCACTGCAGTGCCAGAACCCATGGCAATTCCAATTTCTGCCTTCTTCAGTGCAGGGGCATCATTGACACCATCACCAGTCTAAAACAAAAATTCAGAGTTGAAGCAAAAAATTAAATAAATACGGTGGGGATTTGTGTACAGGGCCAGAAAGAAAATCTGCACTGGGTGTGGTTTTGGATCCTTAAACATCACTAAGTGCAGAACTATCCTGAGGCTTTAGAGTTCAAGGAAATGTGCAGACAAGTGTTTTCCAGATGGGGGCATTAGTCTGAAAGGGTCTAATTAGGGTTTAAACACAGTGCTTGCCTTTCAAACCAGGGACCAGCTCCATCGCTTACCATGGCTGTGATCTCATCGAAAGACTGGAGAAACTCCACGATCTTGGATTTGTGGGAAGGCTCCACCCGAGCAAAGCAGCGGGCATGGTGACAGGCGTCCCTCTGGGCAGCGAGGGAGAGCTCATCGAACTCCCGGCCCGTGAAGGCCTTGGTGGAAACGTCCTCGTCCTCCACGAAGATCCCGATGCGGCGGCAAATGGCCACAGCCGTGCCCTTGTTGTCCCCGGTGATCATGATGACCCTGATGCCAGCCTGTCTGCACAGCTTGATGGATGAAGCTACTTCAATCCTCGGGGGATCCAACATTCCCACACAGCCCACAAAGGTCAAGTTGGTCTGGAATGAGACACAGCAAGTGTCAGTGCAAGATCCTGTGGATTCCTCATCTGACAGCAGTGAAAGCCTTTTGCTTGCATGTTACATCTCTCTTAGTGTAGTGACATCTGTTTTTACTCCTTGTCCTACCTTTCCAAACAGATTTTGCTTCAAATTTTCTTGGCTAAAACACGCTCTAGTTGCCAGCTTTGCAAATTCAACCTGCAAGCATCGAGTCTTTAATTTTGGTAATCAGTGCCAGGAGCACAGAGCACAAGCCAAAAGCTCTCATGCAACTGTTATTTCCCTCCCTCCAAATACCAGATACAGATTTCATTGGAAAATTACAGAGCAGGAAAGATGATAATCATGGACTGAGCCCCTGCAGCTGACAGCACGTTGCATACAATGGCAGGTATGTTCCAGCACAAAATCCCCAGAGAGCTCTTGCAGTTGGGCAATGCCAAACTGAAAACCACCAAGGCTGAAACCACAATGCAGTTTTGGGAATATTTTTCAGAGTCAGTCTCTGAGAACAGTTGAAGGAGTTATGATCCTGAGGACCTATAAGTGAAATATTTCAATTTGCAGCTGGCTTTTTAACTTCTACCAGCCATCAACAGCTTCTTCTAAAACACAAAGTCTCTTCTTACACTAAACATTCCCTCCACACACATAGTGGGTAACTATTGTGTCTGACATCAAAAATAGCCAGAAAGTTCTCAGATGTAACTTCCTCAAGAAATAACCAGACATTAGGAGTTCCATTTTCCAGTTTGGGAGAAGGAGAAGTGGCACCAATCTTACCTCATAGTTAATGAAATTTGAGGAGTCCTCCAGATTCATCTCCTCTTTTTTGGGAGGATTGTCATGGGTCGCCAGAGCCAAGCAACGCAACGTATCTCTACCAGTCCCCCATTCCCTAATGACAGACATGATCTTCTGCTTAATTCCAGGGGTTAATGGTATTTTAGCATTTCCAACACGGACATGTGTACACCTGTCAATCACACCTTCAGGAGCGCCCTGTAGAGGCATAAAAAAAAAGTGATTTAGCTTAACAAAACCCTCGCTTGCTTAATTTACAAAGTCCTTCCTCCATCTTCCAGCTGCAGTTCGTTGCACCATAATTTTTAAGTGTTGTGCTGCTTTGCAGCCATCCCACAGCTCCAGTTGCTCAGGTGAGGAACTGACCTTCACAAACATCTTGCTCATGGACGTGCGGCTCGGTTTGTTGGGCGTGCAGTAGACAGACATGGACTTTCTGTCTCTTGAGAATTCCAGAGTGAATTCCTTCTTCATGAGTTGTTTTATCACCTTAAAAAAAAAAAAAAAAAAAAAAGGCAACAACATGAAAATGCATGTAGATAATACACATTACAGATCTCTATCCTAAAACCATCCCGGATCGCGGAGCGCTCACCGAGTTACACGCGTTGGCACGTTCGATTCTGGAAAGTCCTTTCAGGTCTGTGTCAAACACATTCATCTTCTCCACCAGGCAGGTAAGTGCTGTTTCTGTGGCTTCACCAACCTTCTCATAAACTCCCTTAGCCTTCAGTCAACACAAAGCAAACAAAAACACAGGAGTTTAAACCTCACCTGGAGCCCACCAGAGACAGAAGTTCAAGTTTCACAATGGAAAAAAAAAAAAAAAAAAAAAAGGCTTAACAAGATTTACTGTGGCTTATGAAACAAGCAGAACTATTTTTAAAGAGCAGCAGCTTTGAAGAGTATGATTTGTAGGAATTTGAAGCCTTTGCTCTCAAGAGCAGCAGAGAAAGATGTCAGTACTTTTCATCAAGCATTTAAGCCATTATGAGATGTAGCAACCCTAAGGCAGAGAGGCAAAGTGAGAAAGCAGCAGGAGATCTCCAAATTACAGATTACACTTGCTGCTGCATTTACTTTTCTCAGTATTCAACAAACAAGTAGTTCTCAGAATTAATACTTCAGAGGACCTAAATACTCTCCCCCCCTTGATTAGAAGGGGATTTACCACGGAAAAGCACTGCACAGATGAGAACAAACCATTTATCCCTGTTCTTGCTCTCCTGTGTTCCAGGATCTGTTCTTACCTCATTGTAATCCAAAGAGGAATCGTTGCAGAGTGCACAGATCGTTGCAAGTTCCACAAGTCCATCATACTGACTACATTTAATGAGTTTGTCATCTTTGTGCCTTTCCAGAGGGAGAAAAGGGGGAGAATCAAGTTAGTTATTTAGCATGAGCATCTCACCTTTTCCTCCAGTGACAGTCACACAGCAACGTGGGAAAGAGCTCAGTGAGGAGGGAAAGGAAAGCAGGATCAGAGTGTGTGCAGGGCTTGGAGGGGAGTTCCAGGAAGGAGAGGGATATTGTTGGATACTTTAGGAGTTCAACTGTCTTCCTACTGTATATTCTGCAGATTTACTGCAATGCATGAAGTGCACGCACTGGGCAGGTCTAAAAGCAGATTTCATCTCTTTCAATTTCTTAAAAACCAATCTGTGCTATATGTGAACCTCCTAAACCAGTGAAAAGCCAAGTCACCTCACAACACAACTTCCACTAGAACAGAAACACCTTCCTGGCAGTAAGACACACTCAGAGATCAATACCTCAGGTCTTAAGAGAGAGGGAAGGTACAAATAAGAAATAACTGCTTTGCTCTCACATTTGGAAACAGTTAATAAATTAATTCCTTTTCTGGAGCACTACCATACTTCCACAGCGAGCATAAAAGAACCAAGCCAGTGTTCAATACTGTTATTTTCCCCCTACCAAAACCAGCACGACGGAACTAAATATATAACATCTTTTATTAAAGCTCTCCGGGAGGGAAATAAAAGGCCTGATGGTGGAAAGATGTGGATCAGTACTCCATAAGAATCCACAACACAGACTATGACATGTCCCATTATGTAACCTTTTGTTCACTTGTGGTGCTGCAAACAAATTCCAGTGTTGTGTAACAAAGCACGTGAACAAAACGGATCTTAAGGAAACAAATATGGGTTCAGCATTTTGTTTTGTATAGAATTCAACAGCCATAAGCAGTGGCTTTGAAGTGTCAACTCTTTAACCTTCTCAGCAGCTCTTGGGTTGTCACCTCGCCCATCCCAGCTAAAACTTCCTGTTTTCACCTGTTCTGAACTCAAAGAATATACTGGAACATCCATCACTTGTTATACCAGGGTGGGGATTTTATCAACAAGTTGCTCCTTATCAACAGTTTCTGAAGAATGGCAAAGGCAGAGCCTGAGGTGCTGGGGTCAGTTCTGGGTAAAGGAGGGTTTTTTTCCTTCCAGCTTCAGGCTTTTCAATTAGCTAAAGATGAACCCATTTGAAGGTCAAATGCAATCTCTGCCAGCTTTTGCTGCAGTTCTTAATGACTGTAAATGTTGTGCTCTCAGTTTGCAGTAAGCACGTGCTGAGACATGGCAAAACTACTTCAAACTGCCTGACAACCTCCAACATCCCTGGGAAATAAATCAGCATGAAATTTGGAGTTTTCTCTAAGATATATTTGTTATTTTATATGCACCTCAGAGGAGGATTACATATCAAATATTTGAAGAGTAAATGAAAAATTACTGATTTAGTGCAAAAACCACTTAAGTGGTTATGAGAGAGAACAGGCTATGGAAAACAACGGTGTCTGAAGTACAAAGTAACATGTGTCAGAAACGGTGCATATCTGGAGCAGGTCCTGCTCTGGGGCAGAGCAGTGGAACAAGTGCCTCTTAACCCCCCAGCCGTCATTTCTGGTGACAGTTTGTAATCCAAGGTGAAGTCAGTCACTTAAAATCCCTGCAAAGCCCCTGATTTAAAAGCTGTCCATAAAGGCAGAAAGAAATAAGCCCTAAAGGGTTGAGAGTTCAGCTGTGTTTCTCCTCTGACAGCCTCTCTGAGGCCATTTCCCTCTCACAGAACCCTTTGTGTAGGTGAATGCAGCGTGTTTATCACACTTGTTCACATCTCCCCAACTCCAGCAAGTAAAACCAGAACATTAACATATAATGATGTCTGTCTCATTATACCCAACATCTGCCACCACACTATATTTTATTATTTTGTTTATCTAGAGCTCTTGTGAGACCAGCTAGAGCTCAACAGTGTCTGCAAGGTCTAGAGTGTCACCTTGCTTGAAATGAAAGCACAAGCTTTTGACAGCAATTAGCTTTGAAACAAAAAAGAGAATTGGGGAATTAAAGAGTCCCAGCTGCAGAGAACACCAGGCTCTTCAGTGCCATGGAAATTAAACAGATAATCACTATTGAGATGGGTGAGATGGCAGGAGGCAAACAGTGAAACTGCACAAGGCTGAGATGTTTACAAGAACTCAAGTGAAATTCTCTTCTGAAAGTAAACCTGAAGTGATAAGATGCAAAACATATCAAAGACTGACCAAGTAAAAGGAGCTGTAACAACCCAGTCGAGAAGCAGAGCCCTAAAAATTCCTGAAGTTGTCAGGATGAACCATCTACCTCACTAGTAGAGACTTGCAACTGATAAAGTAAACCAAACCTCATTCCTTTCCTAAGAGACTGGGTTTAGCACCAGCTCAAATACCAAAGGCTGAGACAAACACACACATCTCGTCAAGTAGAGATGCACCAATAAACTACTGAGGAATTTACAGTACATTTAAGAATTAACTCCAATGCATTCAGAAGATACTTTAGAAAAAACAACTTCCACCTTTCTCCAAGGCAGAGCAATTAGAAACACTGAGTTCACAGATTAGCAAAGCCTCACCTCTTCAGATTTATCCAGTTTTTTAATAAAAAAGTAAACCTCATTTTGAAGCACAGGGATAGACAATCTCAGTCCAGTAAGATTTCAGTACAATAAATCCTCTCTACCCCTAATTAATTTTTAGATTATCAAAGGGCCACTGCAATATTGGAGGTTGTATTAGGCAAGTTTTATGAAGGTTTACTCTAGAATTTAACTTTGTTTTCCTGTTAATTACTTTTCTCCCAGTCCTTCAGTGTGCATTCACTGGTTGGCCTTTCATTTATTACCAATCACTATTGAGTATCATATGCATCACTTTTCAGGACTAAAGTAATAGTTAATACATGATCAGACAAATATTTAACTTCAACAGAACACTTACACTTCTCCCATGGGAGCATATGTTGAACCAGTGACAGTAAATTCGTTCAGGGAACAGCTGTCTCCTTCCACTCTGTCCAGGATAAACATCTGAAATTAGAGGGTTAGAATTGTTACTATCTTTGAACAATAATTAATGCAAGAGATTTAAACAGGCCTAGAGCAAGGAGGTCCAAGAGGCAAGTTTAGGTTGAATAAACAAAGCAGACAAAACCTGATACTCTGCACTTCGATCTCCCCGTGTTTGAACAGCTCCGTATTCTGAAGCCACAAAGTACAGAAAACAGCCCTTCTGCTTTCAAAACTGCCTTGAGACACAGGGACAGCACAGCTGAAAAACACAAACTAGGTGCACTTCACTTCAGCTGTGGAGACTCCTCACATGCCACTTGACAATCCTGACTATACCCAAGCTCTTCCTAAGCTTCAGACCTGTGGATTAATTCTCATGGAACGTGAATCAAGAATTATTTCTCTGCTTTGAAACAGCAGTTCCAGTCAAAAGCAGCACAGGGCAGCTTGGAAACTGATAATTCCTGCCAAAGTCAAAATAAAAGCATCCACAAATAGGAGAAGCTGGGAGATCTAAGAGGTGAGGATTTCGACAAGAGCCAGACTAAGGCTAATGTGCCCTAACACCAGGCTGAAGTGAAAGTTTTTCCTGTCCTGATTTTCTAGTTACAGGGCACTTTACCACATGGTGCACTGGTAGTTTAAACCATTCAGCCAGCCCCAGTGCTCTCCTAGCACCGGTGAAATGACATTTTCAAACTCAGACACCAACCTGAAGGATGCACTTGTACCCCTGAGAGACCTGCACCTCACTCTTCCCTCTGTTTCCCTTGTGGGAGAGCTGCAGGCAGAGCCACATCTGAGAAGGTACAGATGAAAACTACAGTGCCTGAAGCTGCCTCACTCTTCATGGCTTGCTGGAGTGGTAGTGGAAAAGATAATTTCTCACTAAATGAGGGTGTATCTTAATGGAACTTCTCATCCTCTGGTTAGCACAGGTCATTTTGTCACATCACATTTTAGCAATGTCTCCCCCTGCCCTCCTTGTGCTGCCCTGTTTTAGATGAGCATCCTCACAAAATACAGCCTAATAAAATAAAATTGTTCAAAGATTGGAGTTTTGCTACCAGAATCTTGCAGTTCATGTCATTTTGCAGCTGCCAGAGGTTAACAAGGAACAAAGGAAAGTTGTACTGTACAGGATCTAAAGCATTTACCTCTAAATAAGGAGTAAAGCATTTTGAGCTTTCAAGTAAACACAACTTAAACGATGAGTTAACCAGGAAGCCTCCTGCTTTTGGCATCTGCATGATGAAAAAATCCCTGCAAAGACTAGGGCAGTTATGCAACTCTACTGCAAGTAACCTCCTCTGGAATACTGATGAGCAGCTGCTTTGTGTCTCTTAGGTATAAATACTACGATACTTAAGGAAGTAGAACAAGTCACCCACCAATTAGGAAGAAAAAGCCATCAATCACATGAGAATAAAGTGCCTAGGGCTTACAAACTTTGGCCACTGGTGTGCAGTGCTCACCACTCACACATTTGGAATTCTAACCCAATGTAAGGAGACTCTGAACATTTGGTGTCGGGAGCTGCTGAGCCACTGAACTTCTACAGTCACCAGACACAAGAACTCGGCGTTTTCTCCATAAAATCCCTGCACAGAAGCACCAACTGGCAACTGAACAGGCATTATGTTAAGGGACTAGCTGTAAAAGTCCCAAAATAACCAACACTAAAAGAACACTGGGGGGAAAGGAGGAGGGGCACAGAACTCATGCTCTCACCTAAAAATACACCAAACACTGAAGATGACCCTGGCAATGCTGGCAGGGCCAACTGCACCTCCAAGCTGCCAGATTTGTCAGACAATGCTGCACACTGAGCACACCACAGTGATCTCCATCAGAGCAGTAAGAGCTACTGGAGATAAGATAACCAAATAAAGGTGGAACCACTCAGCAGTGAAAACACCTTTGACTATCAAAGCTACTGCAGTAAATCTACATTTCTCATACTAAGTTTCTCCACCCGTGGTTATCTTTCTCAATTAAATAGGTAAGTGTTTAACACTTACACACATCCTGTTCCACGGTGTAACTTTCTGAAACAGGGCACAAATCCCACCAAAAAATCACCAATAACGTGAAAAGCTCACAGAACAGTCAATGGAAAGCTGCTTGCAGCTTTTTCTTCCATCCAGAGCTATTTCTGGCCATGACTAAATAAGGGAAGAGATAAAAGCCCTTCAAGACTGCACAGTGGAAAACCGAATTAAAAGTGGAAGCTTATCTTAGGAAAATAAAGCAAGATTTTGATGAGATGAGAACCCAAAGACTCAGGATCAGAGGAATTCCAGCAATGCTGACTATTCAGAGTGGCTGAGGAGAAGAGCAGAACTGGAAGAACATACCCTGCACACTGACATCTGGTTCGTGGTCAGAGTACCAGTCTTGTCAGAACAAATGACGGAGGTGCAGCCCAAGGTTTCCACAGAGGGCAGACTCCTGACAATGGCATTCTTCTTGGCCATCCTGCGAGTTCCCAGGGCCAGGCAGGTGGTGATGACAGCAGGGAGACCCTCGGGAATAGCCGCCACGGCAAGGGCGACGGCGATTTTGAAGTAATAGATGGCCCCTCGGATCCAGGAGCCGCCGTGAACGGGGTCGTTGAAGTGCCCGATGTTTATTATCCACACGGCGATGCAGATGAGGGAGATGACTTTGGACAGCTGCTCCCCAAACTCATCCAGCTTCTGCTGCAGGGGGGTTCTCTCCTGCTCGGTAGCCACCATCTCATCACGGATTTTCCCAATTTCGGTGTTCACTCCTGTCGCAATAACCACTCCCATGGCCTTGCCAGCAGCGATGTTTGTACCCTGAGGCAGAGAAAGGCAAGGGAAGAGAAAACTTGCAGACAACCTATAAATGGTTTGGGTTTGTTCTGATTTTAAACAAAACACCACAAAAATACCCTAAACCACCTTATCCAAGTCCAGACCGTGTGTCAGCCTGGAGACAGAAAAAGAGGAAGAGGATGACACTGCCCCTGTGTCTGTTAGGGAACATTCCCAATGTGGAATTTTTCCTTCCAGAACAGGTTCGAAACAACTCAGTATCGATCCCTCACGAGCAGCACAGGCAAACCCAGCTGCTGAGTAAGCAGTGTGGATTTCAGCTGCAATCTTAGGTGTGGTTTTTCTTCCTTCTTTTTTTAATTAGGACTGTATTTTGCCAGATTTAATGTTATTTACTATGAGTAATAGATGTGTTCTATGGGGCTCCCCATGTGAACAGACATACATGAGAAAGAACAGTTAAATTTTCTGCCAGCAATCAGAGTTATTTTCTTACCTGAAAGGTATTTAATCCTTCCTTTGAACAAACTGTTTCAGTCCTATAGAGTTTTCAATTTTAGCCACACAATACCACCATTTGTGTGGGCATTCTTATCACTCATAAGAACTATCATTTAGGTAATTAATGTAGAAGCACTTTAAAAGTGTGTGTGCTCCAGCTTTCAGAACTTCCCTGTGAAGGACAAAAATAATTTTCCTCATATAGGTTTCATCCAGCATCTTCCCCAAGGACAGCTTTTATTAAAAGTTAATTCTAATTTTTAATTCACTTAGTACCTGGAGACACACACAGAGATGTGTATAGAGAATACAACAAAAGTCCTACAGCTTTCGGGGGAAGATTTAAAGTTCTGCACATTTTTATCAGCTTCAGAATTATTTTACAAGAGACTTGACAATTTCAAAACTTACAGAAAAGAGCATGTTCTTCTTGTCTTGGTTCACAGCACGAGGATCAGGCACAGGGTCAGTGTGCTTAATAACAGACACAGATTCACCTAAAATAATAAGAAGAGACTGTAGATGTATCTTGAGTCCTGAGGGAATCAAAAAGTTGCAATCCTAGTCCTAAAATATCTAAGATGTTAAACTTCTTTCCTCAAGCGATTTTATTTAATTGCTTAAGTGAAACAGGGAGTATTTCAGTTGATCAAGAAAACCGAATGGTTGACTTGTAATGAAAATTACGTATTTGTTTCTGTGAAAATGTCACAGGTATAGAAAGGTTCCTTCTCTATAGAAACAGATGTTTGTTGCTGCATCAGATTTCACAAGGTGGTGCTCTCAGCTCCAGGCAGAGTTACACTACTCTGTGCAAACTCAAGAGAACCAAAGGTTCTCCCTTTTAAAAGGTTTTTGTTAAACAGCATCTTAGACTTCAGTTCTACTTTGTTAGTCAGGAGGCTGGAGCATCAACTTGGCTGAAAGCAGAATTCTTTAAGATAAGACTTCTGTAATTTAAATAAAGGCAAGGAATCATTCCCTTTTTATAGATTTCTGGTGGGTCATTTCTTCTACTTATTTCGGTTCCAACCACGGAGTGCCTCCGTTTTCTTCTGCTAAACATCAGTAAGCTCGATCAGTTCTGTGCTATTCAGGATCTGTACTGAGAGACTCTGGGGCTTCAAGGATGAAAAATAGCTTTCCTATGAACACTTTACTGCTTTAAAATTCAGAGCTAGTTAACATTAATTTATGCTACCAAAACAGGGCTGACAGATCTTCGTGTTCCAGCTGAAAGCAAACTGTTGGACCACGCTTGGTCGATTCCCAGCTTCTTTCCTATATTCAGAAGTACTTCTACTTTGTTTTGTTTTCAACAAATCTGAAAAGGGGCTCTAAAAATAGCTCCTGCACTTGAGGGCTGGTAGCAGAAAACACATGAATGTGTGTGCACAGAATTTCAGCAAATAAGGCTCGAGGAGTGTGCTGGGCCTTTAGTAAGAGCAGCTTAAATGCTGCCAGTATTGCAGAGACAACAGAGCACTGCTGCAGAAGACATTTACTAAGATTTACTTTCATATTTGAGTGGTGACAAGATGTTCAAACCTAGAAGACTGTGTAAACTAGAAGAGAAATTCTGAATTTTTTTATATTTTAGTTTCCCACAAATTACTCGTGTCTGTGCTGGGGGGGAAGGGACAACCAAAAAACCATCACAAGTCTCAGCAGGAATGTTCATCCCACTAAAGGGACACAAAGCCAGTGATGAAGCAACACATTCAGCCACTCAAAGTTACCAGGTCAGAACTTTGCTGCATTGAATGCAACAGAGTAATTCAACACTGCAGGCTTGTTTCTAATGGATTATTCAAATAAACGGCGCAAAGGCACTTCCAATTATGCACATAATTATACAAAAGTCAGAGAAATACCTGTGAGAATTGACTGGTCTACCCTTAGAGTTGTAGACTTGATGGAAGTAATTCTTATATCAGCAGGAACCTTGTCTCCAACTACAAAGAAAGCACAGGACAAAGTTAGAATGTTGCTATTTGAGAGATTTCTAACCCAGTGAACTATTACCTTTATCAGCCAGAAAAGTGATTTTCCAGTACCTGTTCAGATGACCAAAATCACCCACAGCTTATTGCTGCCTTTGTGATCTGCAACACTCCAATTTTCGGAGCATCCAATTCAGATCTGCCCCTACCTAATCTCAAAGAACGCAGCTGTAAATCACTGGCTTGTTTTTCTAACCACATGGCCCTTTGAAAGCAAAGGGAAAACATTCTCAAGAGCAAGATATCCATTTCAGAAGACGAATTTATAAACAGTCAAACCCCAAGGTGAATCAAGTTCCCTTGTCCAGGACAACTGGTCCTGGAGAGTCTTCTGGTTGTTTTTCTCTATGCCCAAAGCGAGTCCTCTGCACTCCAAAGATCGAATTCTCCCCATTTATTTATTTAGAAAACTAAAAGAAGTTGTATTTTCCTTTTCTTTGGCAGCAATTGTGAGAATAACGTGCTTCTGCAAATATGCTCTTGTAATGTTATACTTTGAATTCTGCCAGATGTTTCAGAGTTGGGAGTTCACTGCAGATCACACAGTAGCTTTATTTTCCACTAATGCTGCTCTATTAAAATACACCCCAATCCACATCCCAGTTACAATTTTCACACAGCTCTCATGTTTATCTTACAATATATGTTTATACCTTACAGGAGAAAACATTGGAGGGAAAAAAATAAAAAAACAACCCACAAACAAACTAAAAAACATCCACTAACAAGTGTTTGAGACACCAAGGTCGATGATGAAATTTAACAGCATCTAAAAATGGCAGAGTAATGAATCCACAGTTGCCAACTGAGTTCCAGCATCTCCACCATCCCACAGTTAATTCTTATACCTTCCTACTTCCTCTTATGCAGCTTTTCCTAATTTTTAAGAATTTTTAAGAAAAGAGCTAAAGCCCCACCATTTTGTGCCTCCTGCAAACAAATGGCTGCATGCAAATTCCCTTGCTAAAGCACATTAATGAGGCTCATTTCTGACTCATCTGGAGGGGTTCTCCACTCTGCACATCAATATTCCACTGAACACACAATGCTGAACACTCCTGATGTAATTCAGCCCTGCAAGCACTCAAGTGTCAGCTACTTTATCATAAAATAATGCAAAGAAACAAAGAAGGGAGGATAACGAACTAAAGACAGCTCAGCTGAGTAGATGGAGTGTGCGTCCCTGCAGGAAAATTAAAATAAGCTGCAATTCCTGCAGGAACTGCTTATGCAACCAGCAGCAATGATGCACATGAACAAATAATACCACAAAAAACTCGCCAGTGGTGTCACAGCCTTGGATCATCCAACCACTCACACCCTGGATTGGAAAACCGTGGAGTAAAATGCTGAAGAGGAGAGTTACACGTGACTACAAACATTAGGAAAACCTACATCATGTGACTTTCTGTAAATTCAGAGAAACTCCAACCATTAAAATCTGCAGAAGGTTGTGTGGTTTTGCTTGCAGACTCAGCCATGTGTTTTTGTGAGCGTGTGTATACGAAGGGACAATAAAAACAGCCACAAATTCCCTTTTTGCATCATGATACCATGTGAACACTAATTTAAGCCGCAATGCCCTTGAGCAGCAAGAGAAAATAGCCCGAGACAAACGGTGACTTAGGCCAAAAAAGGCAAAACTATTCAATGAGCTCTCCTGGAGGCTGAGGAGGGTTCTGTGCACGCACAGGAGCAGCTGCATTTCAGTCATCCCTGAGCACCAGGCCACGAGGTGAAACGCTGCCCATCTGCACCAACACTTCCAAAGGGCTGGAAAACTGCAGCCAACTCCTCCACCACAACACTGGGGAAGACTTGATCCCTCCACAGCACAAAAAAGCTGCTGTTAAAAAACCCCTCACCTTCAAGGAACTGGACAGAACATGGCCAAGTTGATTTCTGAACTTACTTCTGAGCTGCTCTAAGTGGTTTGAACTCATATATAATATGCCCAATTTCTAAAGTGTTTGCAGAGATCCCTCTAATAATTATTGATATTTAAGCAGCAGTATTTCCCTGAAAAGTGCTGCTGTCATTAGCAATTGCCTGAAGCCCCAGAACTGAAGTGTCAAATTTATTATGATAGTGCAGCTTTCTAAGTTTATCTCAACAATTTGAGATAAGACACATTATTCACTCCCCATCTCTGTCTGAGAAGGCTGTAGTAAAATATTCAAGGCATTTCCAATAGGCAGGAAAGCTGCACATCAGGGTCAAATACAGAGCTATTTTAAGCAGCTCTTTGCAAAATAACAGCTATGACAATAAGTCATTTATAATCTGGAATATACTTTCATGAGCACAGCTGAAACTGAATATAAATAGGAAATCATCCCATGATTGATAGGAACCACAGGAAATTTTCAGTGAGCAGTTTAGTGCACATCTCATCCACCAGCAGAAGGCTTTTTTATCCATGTACTTTAAAACAGGGAAGAAATTGGTGTTTTGCTGTTGGTTTGGGGGGTCTTTTTAAAAATTAAATTACACTTCAGTCCACAAAAACCAGAAGTATTACCCAAGGCTTGGGAGACAACAAGAACTTAGAGGGTGAATATGTGTTTGTGTTGCTCGGTACTGACCTGATACAATAAATGGATATAATCTCATAGCCTGACATCTAAAATGGTCAGCTGCAGAAATATTTTCATCTTTTATTTTCAAAGTTTTAAATCCTAAATAGTCAGTTGGTTTCCACAACAGTTCTGAAGAAATCAAATAAGCTGCTTTCAAAACTACCCACATATATGTTCTAAAGCACAGTGTAGTCAAATATGTAACTACTGATTAAAGCAGCCTTCTAAATAGAACATTAACTGCTGTTTGCAAGGGTGGAAGAAGGCTTTGGTTTGAATCATTACAGCTTTACCCACAGAATCTTTTTATTCACACACAGAATTTTAGAATTTTAATACTGAGCCTCAGCACACAACAAAGGAATCTGTTTCAAAACAACCTGGTCCCTGTAAGGGGGTAAAAAAGACAAATACCCATTTGATTTAATTGTGCAGGAGTCTATATTGAAGCAAATAACTTACAATTCCCCACTCCTTGATAGAAACTGGAATGGCATTGAGTTGTGATATGCATTTTAAAAGTTTATGTTAATTGTTTTAAACACTCCCTCGCTGAAAATAGGGATAATTTAATATCTGAAAATCTGGGTTCTTCAGCCACCCAACCAACAGTGTTATCAGCCAAGATTCCCACTGATTACACCCCAGCTTTTCTCCTCAAGTTCAAAGCTCCCTACACTTATCTTACACTGCTACAGGTCAAGTTCCCCTCTGTATGAACAGTCATTCACATCCACATTCGATTTTCTGGGCAGTGCAAACCCTTCTTATCAGCAGAGCTCGGCAGGGACTGAGTGTCTGCAGAGCAACTGGAGCTCCTCAGGAAGGGAGCCTTTAAAGGACAACCCAGGGCATAGATTGCCCCACTCAATCTGCAAAGTTGCCTTGAAAGAGGAAATAATTCTAAAGTCTCCAAGCCAACCTCAAATATTGAATGTATTGAACAGTGTCAGCCCCAGTTTAATACCTGGCAGTGACCAAGTCCTACAGTGAAACAATCAACTCATCATCCAGGTGTTTCATCTGAGCACTGACACCCCCTCAACACTTCACCAGTTTCCAGCACAGCAATGAAACTAAATATTGAACTTTGGAATTCTGTCAGAATGGGGGTTGAGACACTCCCTGGGAGACCTCTACAGCCAAAATCCAGTGTTAATGCTGCAGGTGAGACCAGTGTGTGGTTTGAGCAGCCCAGGAAGAAGTGATGGGGTACATATTTTATGAATAATGAAGCTGGAAGGAAAATAACTATTAAAGCTGTGTGGATTTCAGTCCCTGTTACAATTTAGCTACTGACAAAGAACTTTGGACTACAACAGGACCGTGCTCACCTTCCAAGTCTCAAATTACATTTTCTAACCAAAACTGCTCGTGACAGTAAGTTCAGGAAGCAGCATTCACTTTACCCCCAAAAGCCACCATGGTACAGAACAGGCCTCAAAATAAAACTACTAATTTAAATGTGTACTTTGAACACTGATATCAGCCCTATTAACTCTGATCCCTCCCACAGCTGGAGACTTGCTCAGAGGGGATTTACAGGCAGGTACATCATAAAGAGAGAAGAGTTTTGTTTCTTTTTTTTTTTTTTATGTTAATGTGTAACAAGAACAAATGCTGTTCTTAGCAAAGGAAGTACCAAGTGTTTGCAAAAGGTCCCTCAGCAAATAAAAGGACTTTTATCCTGTGGAAGTCAGAATGGCTCTTCATACACAATATGTACCTCACACTTTCTTATTGATGTTTATCATTAACCAAAGCCAGTGTCAACCTGAATTCTGTTATCAGCAGGTTGGGGGTTGGAGCTGGACTTTTGCAATAAAGATTATCAGTACAGCTCCAAACTATTCTATAGCTGAACTATTTGGGAACAACAAACAGTTCCTGAAACCTGAGAGCAAGAACATCCCCAAACCGACTTCCATAAAATACCAAATGGGAAGAACAAAGAAAAAAAGGGGGCTTAATAAACTAAAGTTCATTGTTGGCACATTTTGATTTTCAAGACACTATTGTTTTTCTCCTGCTTTATTAGGATGTTCTCATTTCATCAGGCCAGGGTAGAAATACTATCAAATCCAGCCCATACAACCTGCCCCCCACTGCTATTAAAACATCTCATTCAAAATACGTGGGGTTTTACCATCAAAAGGGAAAAAGACTCAGTATTTGTTAATTCTTTAGACAAAAAACAGTAAGTGTTAGCAATTTTCCAACATGACATATTATTATGGGTACAGTCATTTAAACCGCTTTTCCTAATGAGATTTTTCATGTCTTAATTTCAGAGTCAGTTATTTCAGTCTCCTCTCTTGCCCAAAAATAAAAGTTCCTTATCTCTAAATCAGAGGACACCACTGTGTGGGTATT